GATTGACCTGGTTCCGGGAACCAAATACTGCGTAACACGCCAATGGTCCCTGCCCAAGAAGCAGTGTGACGTCACTGACGGCGTTTTTCGTACGAAGCATAAGTGCGTGATAATAAGTCTCACCATTCGACACTCATATTTTGTGTCCGGAAGCCGAACGGCAAGTGGCATATCGTTCACACTTACAATAAGCTGAACGTTGCATCCAGACGCCGATTCCTCGAAAGAATGTTTCTCCAGAACAATTTGGTTGGCTGTAAAAAGTACAGCTTACTCGACTTGGTCGACGATTATTACCAATTGCTGAGATATATCTCGGCTTCTTCAGCGAATATGGGGAAGAACAAGTGCTACCAGGTGCAACACAGCGCCTTCCTTTCGAAAGAACAGACTCCTCATTTTTGTTCTCGCAGCACAAATCTGAGTTGGGTAAGATCACACCATGCGTACCCACAGCGCTCCACACGCACTTAACTTTCAAATTCTAGCGGAAAACTCTTGATCTGCTAAAATTTTGATTCTCAATCGCATCTAATACTTAATTAAAGTCAAAAGTGTTTTTGCTTATAATACTAGCATTTAGATTTCATACGCATGACTTAGTCAAAACGACATCATGCCGCTTAATGGCGACTGTCCCAACACACAAATGTTTCACTCATATGACGGAAGTAAAATCGATCACGACCTTCGAGAGCTCAAGCTTGTGCTGCATATATTGCACACCGGCCATGTCAAAGAGCCGACGTGAAGCCACGAACTTCCAGCTGTAGATAAAGCTCAAATGCGTTAGCGATTCATATTTCAAACTTTTGACGTTGCACGTACTCGCTGTTGTACTTATCAGAACAGTAAATAACGCGCGAGATGCCACTCTGAATGTACGGAAGACAAATGAGTCAGTTGCTTAGTATAGTCGTGTTTTCGTCCCAATACTCAACCTGAATGATAAGCTTGGCACATTCATTACAAGGAAAAAGTGCCACGTATATCTATCCAAATAGATCAATGTAAGGCTTCATTTTCAAACATGTTGTTAACTAGTTACCGTGCATCCCTTTACGTCAGTCGAATTTTTATTCAGAATAGCATTCATCTCTGCATGACAAACATACTAACCCAAAGTCTAGTCAGCCCATAATCAATTGTTTAACATATCGCAATTTTTCTCACCGGATACTTAGTATCAAGATGTGAATTAGTTTGACTCTCACGTGCCCACGGTAAATCATCGTCACCACAGCCATTTGGGAATCCATTGTAGCCAATTCCAACAATCTTTCGTTCGGAACTCACAATGCTAAAATCAAAACCTAAATGAGATCATAACTCCAAAATCCATCCTCAAAGTTTCAATACCATGCTCCAACTTGGGTTGACGGATCTATCAAAGCACACAATAATTACACGCTCACCTCCAACTTTCAATGTACTAAAAGTATACCAACCTTTCGAACGCATAGCACTGAGAAAAGCGACACTCATAAAATAATCCTCCCATGAAAGATAATTTGAACGTTTTTGTATGACTGTTGATGTAGTCGATTGCAATGTCTTCACCTTATTAAGCGTCTTTGGCTTTTTCTCACTGCTCTGAGCAACTTTTAAAGTCGCGTTTCTCTTACGTTTAAGCTTTTCAGAATGTGATGAAGTCAATATCGATGTCGGATAGATGCCACGTGAGGCAGCTACCACCCAGTCTTTGTGTTTGAACATCACATGTTGCACCAAATTCGTATATCCGCTCTTAAGACGTTGTGAACGTGTTGTACCACACTTGCAACGGAAAAGAGAGGGAGCATTTGCCTTCTCCTCAATCGATAAAGCTTGGTCGACTTCAGTATAAAAGAGCTCCATCATTTGTCGGCCGCTAAGCTTCTGATCGACCATGGCGGCAACAAATTGCTTTTTGCTCTGTGTACGACATAAGGAGTATACAATGTTGATTATCCGGAAAATAGGAAATTGCACCATAAATAGTCCTATTGTTCAAATGAGCGTAGAAACGAGATCTAAGGTAACTTTGAGATCGTGTATTTGTTTTTGAAGAGATTGTCGAGAGATACGATTTTTTCTGATATATAATAATCTTGTCAGTATCATTTCATGGTATGGGCTTGTATTACAATGGAATACTCTTGAATGCGTTTTTAGAAGAGAATATTGCTATTTTTCAGTACATATCAAACGTCAGTTTTTTTATCAAACATCTTATGCAAAAATCACGAAAGACACAGCATTCCAATAATTCGAAACATAGCTCAAGCATCCATCTTGACTTGGATCCTTTCCAAATCACCGAGAAGAGAAAGAACCATGTATTCAACTGCGTATAGTCAGAATGTAAAGAAAGCAGAATAAGTGAACGTCTAAGTGAGAGGATCTCGGGCCTGGTTGATTAGAATCACCCTGCAGAACTACGTTTACTATACTGCAGTGTCGAAGCAGTTCGTTCATCACAAATCAAAAATCTTAAGCATTGAACGCAACCATGATTTAAAGGAGATGAAGACAGACGCTGTCCGAAACACCTTCGCTGCTTATTGTTGTGATTTTGATGGAAACTGAAGCAAATTGCATCGTTATGTTCAAGATCTTTGTTGATTTAAAATGAAGTTTGAAACTGCTGTTGGAACAGATAAGTGAGCTTGCTTTTTAAATTATGACTTGCCGTTTCAACACGTTCAATACTCGCGTGTTCATGCATAACCACGATGAGAATTCAAGCCCTTCCATAATGTGGTGTCTGTGAAAAGACTTGATTTGGTAGAGAACAGTAAACCTTGTACTTAAATCTTTACGAGCTCAAGAACGCTCTCGTAAAGAACAAAGTGGGTGTTTTTAACAGTTTTGAGCTACCTGAGATATTCACTCTATACTGCTTTTATCCGGATGCCGTGTTGCGCAGCGGTCGACGATGTAAGTAAATTTTCTGTCCTATTAAGCATAACAAGCTGCGGTGGAAGGCTAAGATTTTTGATTGCTTGTGAGCAGCCATAAACTCGTGCAATTTCATAGATTGAGGTCGCTTTGAAGACAACTGCTTGATCACCGGGGATCATCTAATCAGGCATGATCGACTTCATTCCTTCATCGGCCTAGTTGGTGATTGTCCTGGAAATGGCATGAATTGAATAGATGTTAACTTACATGCTTTGCGCTTCGTGTGGTTTGTACGTCGTGCGCTTTTGGCTCATGCACGCTGCCATTATAAACAATTAGCTTATTGTTAGTTCTAGCCTTTAGCCGAATACTCTGGAACACGTCTGGAAGAACTGCTCATAGTAAGTTTATTAAATCTGCCTATGAGATGAGAACATTCATCATGATGTATTAAAAAACACTACTTTTTGAATCGTAATCGTAAGGACAAGCAGTCCTCGGACCAAGACTCAAGACCAAAACTCTTTCTCAACTATACCAATGTTGTATTAATCAAAATACGTTCCATCGCCACTTGAAAAGCTTCCATCTCCTCAAGACTGTATAACTCACACTTGGTGCGAGAGTTTAGAATACCCATGAATAAACGAATGCCAATAGGAATGGCCTTATCGTTAAAGTCATAGCGATTCGAATGTAGTGCACGTAATGTCTCGAGATCCCCATCTTCCTTAGTACCTACAAAGAAGAAACAGCCTTTACGCTCCTGCAAAAAGTACGAGAAGTCTTCAGCTGCCATGAGAGGCAGACCTTCCTCGCTCGCATACAACCCTAAATCCATTGCAATCTGCTGCACTTGACGCGTTTCAATTTGAGAATTGATAACAGGAGCATAGCCATCCAAAAAATGCACGTTTGCCATTGCACCGTACGCTGCACAAGTAGAATGGACCAACTTAGCCACACGATCTTTGACTTTCTCGGCTACTTGAAGATCAAAGTCACGAATGGTTCCACCAAGAAACACGTGGGATGGAATCACATTGTTCGTATCACCTCCACGAAACTGTGTGACTGACACAACAGCAGTGTCCGTCGGTGACAGCGAGCGGCTCACGACAGATTGAAGTGCTTGGACTACTGCTGAGCCTGTTAGAATGGGATCGACGCACTGGTGTGGTGCAGATCCGTGGCCTCCAATACCATTAATATCGATTGAAAACTCGACTTCGTGGGCCATCACAGCACCAGGACGAACGTGAATGCTATACAATGGAAACGGTGCATTATGGCATCCGTAGACTTCATCCACATCGACCAGTGCACCTTCTTCAATCATCTTCATCGCTCCACCTGGACCTTCTTCAGCCGGTTGGAATATAAATCGAACGAAAGTATCTTGTGGAAGATAATGAGCTTTGTGTACGACCATCGCACAAAGTCCAAGTACCATGGTCATGTGACCGTCATGACCACACATGTGTGCTGCAGCAGTTGAAATTTGAAATTCGGTATCATCGCCATCTGCTTCTTCATCTGTTGCAATTGTCTTATTTGATAAAGCAGGTAGTTGATTCGCGGCTGAAGCCTCGACACTCACATCAATGCTTGCATGATCCAATTGTGAGGTAGCACTGTCATTGCTATTTGAAGCCACGTCCTGGTCTTTTTCGTGCGTTTGTTTTGAAACGAACAGTTTAGGATCTGATCCCTTCCGCTTTTTACGCTTACGAAGCTCTCTGCGTCCACCTTTTTGCGTTGAGCAGTACGGCAAGTGATCGTTCAGCTCTTCAATTGGAAGTGCGTCCATGTCTGCACGAAAGGCTATTACTGGCAAGTTCAGCTTCTCCAAGGTACAGATAGTAGCATTATCATGACAGACATCTACAATTAAACCTGTAGATGCCATCTCACGAATATTGCTACCTGGAATATGCAGTGCTTGCTCACAAAATCGTTTGATAAATGCTTGAGTACAAACTTCTTGGTATCCCGTCTCTGGATACCTGTGGAAGCCACGACGAATATCGCACAATACGCGTGAGAAGCCGATCCAATCTACTTCGTCAACACCAACCATATTACCAACTTCCTCTTTAACTGCATGGTTACTTGAACTCGAGCTCTGTACAAATTTCTTAAGGAAAGGCATGACTTGCGTCAGCAAAGTATGCAATCCTTCTTTCCATGAATCCTCGACTAAATACGCGTTCTTCGTCTCAACATCATCTGAAGAGCTTTTTGTAGGTGTCGTCACACCAGCATGTAACGAAGAGCTACTATCGAAATCAGGAGCAACAAGACGTGTACTCTTTCCACGCAGACGCTGATCACGAATATCTTCTGGTGTGTCATAGTATCGTTGTAGAAAATCCTCCTTCTTTCGCAATAACTTTCGAATGGCTGCTTCACTTACACCAAACTTATCAGCGAGCTGTCGCTTGGAGATTTTGCTATTTTCTGCCATTTGAATGATTTCCACACGCTGGCGATCGTTAAAGCGTTTACCTGATCCTTGTTTTCCCTTCTTAGGCTCATTGTCACCATCATCCTGCTGGTCATGATCAGTCATAACGACTATGTGCTTTATTATCGTTAATAACGGCTTTTTCGACCAGTGACGTACATTTAAACAGAAGCTCGAGGCGATGGCGCACAAGTTAGACGGCAAGACAGCAGTAGGTGCTTGGGAAGGCGAGAGCATTTTATCAGTAGTACAATTTGGCAAAGATAGCGCGCAGTGCGTATGATTTCAGTGCATTATTTCTTGACCATTTTCACTCGAACAGTTTCTTAAAAAAATAGGCGCGTACTGAGCGTAGCCGATGAGATGAAAACGATGGTCAAGACGCAAGGCGCAAATGATTTACTTAATGGAAAGGTATGTGCAGTAATTGCATCGCATTTTTGAGCAATTTGAAACCGAATTGATGGCTGTAGCTTCTGGCGAATGTGTTTATGGAGCCGTCCACGCGTACGAGCAGCTCATTTCAAGCAGCAATGCTGCGGCTTGGCGGTCGTGTAGTATGCGTTAATGAGAGTTCATCTAGCAGTCAAAAAGGCGAGACATTGCACGATACTATTCGATGTCTTGAGTGCTATGCCGACGTCGTTGTGCTTCGACATCCAGTCAAGGGCAGTGCTTTGATAGCCGCTGAAGCGACAAAGAAACCGGTGCTTAATGCTGGTGACGGTGTGGGTGAACATCCGACCCAAGCTTTGCTAGATTTGTATACAATTTATAGCGAATTTGGCGATCTAGAAAGTCTTAAAGGCAAGGTCATCACCATGGTCGGCGACCTTAAAAATGGTCGTACTGTGCACTCGTTGTCCAAGCTGCTAGCTATGTACGGACCAAAGTTTAACTATGTGTCGCCTGAAAGTTTAAAAATGCCGCGCTACGTGTACGACGAGCTGCAGAGCCAATGCATTAAGCAGAATGAAACCACTGACCTTGATTCGGTCATCCACGAGACGGATGTACTCTACGTCACGCGCGTGCAAAAGGTTTGACGAATCACGTGTATACCTGACTGAGTTTCACTGCTCATATAATTTGTACTAGGAACGATTTGATGACGAAGAGGACTATATTGCTGTCAAAGACAGCTTTCGTATCACGCTTGATGTGATCAAAGATGCCAAATCTGAAATGATTATAATGCATCCGCTGCCGCGTGTTGGTGAAATTGCCGAAGAAGTCGACAAGGATCCACGTGCCGCTTACTTTCGTCAAATGGAAAATGGCATGTACGTACGAATGGCGTTGCTCGCTCTTGTGTTGGGTAAGGCATGATCTGGTCGCAGCAGGACAGAGATTGCGTACAATATGACGCTATTCATTAAGTTCATAATGCTTTAAATTCGCTTAACAATATAATCCCTTAGCTTCCAGCGCACAGTGTATTCTCGCACTCTGCTGCATTTTCACAACAATACTCAACAGCAGCGTCATATGCATCTACATTCAGTCGCGAGCCGAGAAAAAATGCCAATTCTCTCACAAATAGACCGGCATCTTCGTATAAAAACGGCGTGAGAGCTTGCTGGAGCTCATCATAGCATTTCGCGGGTCCACATTGCGTAATTGTATTTAAACAGCATTGGATGATTGCCAACAGTACCGTCAGTTCTATATCCCGTCCAATACAAGCTCTCAACTCGGTTTCAATCCACGCTTCGTACTCTCCTTGAACTTTATGCATTTTTGGAAAAGTGAGCAAATCTTCAACCTGGTTTCCAGCTACTCGAGCAAGTCGCATATGACGTCGGTAGACAAGTGAACGGCGTCTCTCCCGGCTAGTAACATAATTATTCTGCCTCTTTTCTCTTCCATGATTATGTATGCGTCGTCCTTGGAAGCGAAGGAGCTCAAAATCTGTTTCACTTCGCACATTAGCGTACACGTCCTCGAACGGATTCTTACACAGTGGACACGTTGGCCGTACTACACCATGTAGTGCCAAACTGTGTGCCCAGGTGCTGAGACACTCAAGACAGTAGACATGATAGCAGGTTGTAAGCATTACAGGATCCACTAATGTTTGCAGACAGATGGAGCACGTATCACCAAGCACGGCCAAGTCAATGGCGCTGGTCTCCTCGTCGTCTTTTATAAGGTTCACGAGTCCATTTGATGAAGTGGAAGAAAGCAAATTGACCTGCGAATCTGCTGACGTCAACACGGAGGTGCTGTCGTTCCGAGAAACCCAATCGCCTTCATCTTGGGCGGCCGCTTCGGAATCCTCTCGGTTTCCTAGCGACATTATCAGTATTAGTGAATAGAGAGCATATCTATGGAGAAATAATTATTCTATAGATGTTATATATATTAAAATTGCGCTCTGAATTTATCAATATATACCGCAACCTTGCTAAAGTGGAAATTACCAGCAGAAAATAGTAGTCGATTAATAGTTTTGATATTTATTTACTCGTACATTGTGCCGTTACATTATTCTATGCGATATTTAAAATGAAAATGGGAACAGTTCATCAATTTGGTTATGTTTCTGCGAGTAAGAATTTATAAATCAATCTTCTGCATCGCTAACATAGCCTCCCTATCTTTTGGGTAGAAAGTATTTAGTGTCTGAACCCTTTTTGATCTACATCAGAACGTAATCATATCGATCTTATCATCTTTTGGGGCAAAATCATTCACTTCAGATCCTCCGTATCCTCTGATGCTGAAACTTCTGTAATCAAATTGTAAAAAAAAACAGTAAATCATTTGCTTTTTATTAAAGAACAACATACTTCATTATCCGCAACCGCATATGCAACAATCCAGTTGAACCAATCGGTAAGACATACCGCTTCACCTACAAGAACGAAAACGAGTGAACGTCAATACAAAGATCACACAAGACAAACCTTCAAGAATTCTTGATGCTATTAAATATAATGACAATTAATATCGAGGAGCATACTTTATCTCTCATATACTTAGCGCAAGTCTTTGCGTTTTCAGACATACTTGTTGGCCGACTCATTCGACGTTGTATAGTGCTTGCAGGTTGATCGTTCTTGCGCTTGTTAGTATGCTTCTGCTGTGTCACGATTGAAACATCTGGGCTTTTCCATTATAGCACTGTCCCTAAGGATGACAGCTTGTCGAGTAATCAACGCATCACTCTGATGGACGATTGTTTTGTGACAGTATATTTATAGGCTGATACCTTCCAAACAATATATATATTGAGATTGATAAACAATATACAAATATATCAATCGCTCAAGGTAGGCTGAGTTTGCTACTAAATTCTTGCAGATAATTACCAGCAAACAATGTGTATTGTGGATCATTTAAAATCTTTGGCTGTACTATTTCTAGAGTTGATCGACTACTGGTGACAATTAAATGAAAGACGGAACATATAAACAATGATACATTACTATCTGCAATTTTATAGAAAAAGGAGGTTCATTGGAAGCGTATGAGTTGTTGTCAGATTGACGCTGCAATCTACGATCGTATGCGGGTAAGTCGAACCGTTCTCAGCTAGCAACTCGTGAGAATGACATTATTGAATGGACAATCTAAGCGAAGCCAAAGATGGGAAAATGAACATTTTGAAGACGTAGACGAAGGCAGCTCTGCCGCACATTTGCCGAGCGTGGAAGAGTTACTCATGAAGCGAGAAGCCGTATAATTGTGAAGCTTGAATTTTCGAATAATCGACAAAGTTGTTTTGACAGCGTCAAAATATTGGCTCAAGTACCGAAATATTAGCGCAACCTGCTGTTTGTTGCGCCTTCCAAAGCTTATGATTGCCAAGCTTTGTATTAAGCTCCCAATCGAGGTTTTCGCGGTATATGGCTAAAATTTATAATCAAATATGTACTTGCAAACATAATGCGATGAGCTCAATGATGTTTTCACTTGGTATGGGGACAATTTGATACGTAGAAGCGAATATTGTGACGCTGCCGCAGTCCTATACTTTATATGTATAAATTGTCTGCAGACAATTTTATAGGTAAAGTTTTTCACGAGATTGAAAAGAGGACCTTGACCACTCATCTTTCATATGCAGCACTGACACAAATTAGAGTGTAAAAAAGGGTTTTGCATCAATGACTCTTTAACAAAATAGCTACCCTAACCCTATTTAATATAGCACATATGCGCGAATTATCATAAGGTATTTCACAAAAAAGTCAATACATTATGTGCTTCAGGATCATAAATGCCTCACGGCCTCAGATGCTATAGTGTCTTAATAATCAGCAACAAATATCTTGACATTGCTTGAAAACAAAACTGAGCGCTGCTTCTCTGTACACAGCGTAAGCCCAGTGTACAATACCACGCTGTTCGGCCGCCGAGACTCAATGTAGGAGCGGGCTATGTGTATAGAGCCAGGCGAAAAATTGATCGGGCAACACACAGTACATTAAGTAAAGGCATTATTGTATGACCATAGAACCCGCTCTTGTGCTCTATGCAGTTTGTCCATCCGTGGTATGTTTATTATTATTTTTATATCCGACCATGAGAATTGTGAAATGTTTGAAAATAGTAATTTACGCTTGACAAAATAACCTTGTTTTGTAAATATATTGCTCGGTAAATGCATTCAATATATTAAAGTACCTGCTGATTGCTATCTGTACTTACTCTTAATGTATTTCGTTTTGAGCAACAAGTAGCAGCGCTGGGTAGGAGGCAGTTGAAGAAATTGTCGTCAGTTTGCAATGCTTTGCTTAACTGCAACTTTGGAGCTCGATTTGACGTTACTATTGATTAAATTTAGTCCTCCTTTTCTTGTGTAAGGAGACTATAAAGACATGATTCAGATAATATATGCATACCGTCAAAAAAATTTGAGTTATAACTGTGAAAGTCATGCTCAAAAAATTCATTGTGATTTATAAAGTGACTTATAATATTGTAATAGATAAGTTTCATTGAGAAGCTAAATCGATGATTGTTGAAAAAGTTGTTTAAAAGTTTCTATTGAAAATGAACAAATTAGATTACTATCAATACAATTGCTGTGAGCTCACAATACGCCTATCGGAAGAGCCAGCCTACCTACCTCAGTTCAAGCAATTATTGTTTTCAAAAAATCACAATAATTATGAGTTTTTCATCGATACAAATTATCATTTCTCCATTCGACTCAATAGATAACACTCAGTCTATCCTAGAATAGACATATCTAGTGTTTGAGTCATGATATACCTCTACGCAAAATTTCAAGCGCAACCATTTGACTTAAATCCAAACTTTGATTCAAAATTCGTCCGATCGTGGTGGAACTTACATGATTTTTATTCTAGCCAATCGGCTCTTTCGTTGATGGTTTCAACCAATTAGCAAGCAAATATTGACACTATATCCGTTCTCTTGCCTTCCTTTCTAAAGATGTGCTTTTTTTACGAGCTCCCATACAGATTTTCATTTTAGATTCCTCTGTGGGCAAAGAACTAGTTGAGCGTGATCGAAGCTCGGCTTCGTCCACTGCCTGACGATCTTCCATCGTTCTTTCATTCACTTATTAAAGCTTTTAGTTTGCGATCTTTTTCAAGCAGTAGCTTGACGAGTGTACCGTGTTATACCTTAGTGTCGAACCATAATTCGTCAATTTATTCATTTGTTCCGGCTACTACGGGACTAGTCGTTCCTGTCACGAGTGTCTTTAAAGATCGCAAAATGGAGGGATTTTCAAGTCCTAGCGAAGAAAGCAAGTCTACAATCTGTTTGTCACCGCAGGAAAAACTCGTGAGTGCTGCTGGACAGCGTACTAAGCGCTCGCACTCTGGAAGTGTTTTAGCTACTACTGAAGTCAAGGTAGCGCGCTTAGACGATATGCAAAAGAGCGAATCAGAGCCTTGTTTGGACGGTTGGATCAGTGATGATTATCTACGTACCATGGACTTTGACGACCGTTTAAGTCAAGACATTGACTGGGTGGCACACGACGAAATGGATCTAGCGCTGAGTATGGACACGCTACCACCGGAACACGTCACAACTGATGACGTCAATGACTTTAGCTTTGGTCCATCGTTTCTTCGCGGCAGCTTAACGTTGGAAGATCCTGCAGAGATGTCGTCTATTTTTGGTTAGTTTCTATGCTTCTTTCTTCTTGGTTGCATTGCAACGCTTGGTCAGGTGACTTGTGCTCATGCTTGCTGCATTCATTGCATCTATAGTAGATCCAGTCTACATCTTTTCAGAGCCAATTAGCACGAAGGATGCAGAAACGCTTCTTATGAGCTTTGACACGATGAATTTCAAGATTCCGTCACCAACAAGTACCACGAGCAAGAAACGCACTAGTATCTTTTCGAATAAACACTTGGAGCCAGAGCAGACTGTGTCTTCAAAGACAACAGAGTCAGCAAATACCTCGAGTGGACCCGAGTCATCTGCGACTGAAGAGTTGCGTATGGAACAGACTCACGTAAATGCAGCCAACAATTCAGTGACTTCTCTTCTCAGCGTTCTTGACATTAGAACGCATACGACTCTTTCGAATCCGACAGAGAAGAAGATTGGTTCGTACAGCCCAAAAGCGCGCAAATTACGTCTTCAGAAATTCCATGAAAAGCGCAAAAATCGCACATGGAAGAAAAGTATCAAGTATGACTGCAGAAAGAAATTAGCGGACGACCGTCCGCGTATTAAAGGCCGTTTTGTGCGGGTGCATGAAAATGCTAGTGCGGAGACTAACGTAGCATCTTGTAGTGCTACGCCATTGGATTCGATGGCTGGTTATGCATCTCCAAAATCACCAACAAACTCGATACTTTCGCCGGCAATGGTACCTGCAGCGAAGGTTCAAGTGCCTCGAGTAGCCACACCTTTGCTCACTCCGCAGACACCTGCAGCTTCAGTGCCCAAGCCAACGTCTTCTAGTGCAACATCGTTGAGTTTCGCACGAATAATTGCAAGTGTATGAGGGCCATAACCACTACAGTGGAAGCGAGATTAAGTATGATATGATAGTGTAGACAAAGGGGAGTTGTAACGCAATGTGGCTTAGATCTATAGATTGCGAAATGGAAGAAATATAAAAAGAAAGCGCAGAGGTGAAATACACCTCGCAGCTCGGCACTTAACGTCGACTGAATGCATTTTGAGATAGCGAGCCGGAATGCCAAAGCGCAAAGCTTAAGAGCACACGCTGATCGGAAGCCTCAGATAGGATAGCTGGACTGTTTAGACTCATGGAAAGAGCCGCTTTTTCTTAGAGCGAGTCGCTTTATACAGAGGGAATGCAGCTACTGTAAAAGGAAATCTGACGTTTTCTAATCTTATGGTTTATTATTTCTAACAGGTCTTTTGACTCTGAGATGCGGCACTTGAAAATGCGACACGTCAAAGCTGATTACGCATAGGGAAAGGCGCTATCAAAAAGGTTGTCAACAACATATTGCTACATTATCGTGCTTGACATCAACATCATTACCATTCACTTTGCCTTGCTTTGGTATTGCAATGACAGCATAAAAATTATATGATGTCCAAGTGAAGAGATCGAATACTTACACGATTTGAGTCAAGGTAGATAAGATGTATCATTTCTGAACTGACTCGATTTAGTACGACCTGTCAAATGCAATATTTCAATGTTTGTCAATATTTTGTTTTATAGGTACTGTGATTGGTCAATAATATTTTATTGTTGATGCACATATTTATCGCAATTTCATCCAATCTGCATTGTTTCAAAAAAAAGCAAGCACAGAGTACGCAGACAGTCGCGTCGCGATGAGCAGTACCACCGCGTGCCGCTTCTTTCAATCGCCTCAAGGCTGTTTTCGTGGATCATCGTGTACATTTCGTCACGATCATGAAGTGCATTCAAATGACGTCTCGCTCAGTCTTGCGAATCCGTACGTCAATGGTACCATCCCGACGTCCAATCAGCCACAAACATGTCACTTTTTCACGGCTGATAGCGGCTGTCGCAACGGCAGCAACTGTCCATTTGCTCACGTGATAGTGAAAAGCGACAATTTGAAAGCGCTCGAGCGTGTTACGCGCGATGAGCTGGCAGTGTCTTCACTGCAGCCCATGGCTGGCGTTACTGACCCTGTCTTTTATGACCGTCCAGGACCTACGATTCGATCACATCATAGACATGTGTCTTCTATTATAGTCACGAATCCCAATAAAAGGAAATTGCATATACAAGCAAACCCGCAAAAAAAGGAGACGATTAGTGAAATTTTACCAGTCTTTACAAGGGACATTGAAGGACCGGTAAGTAAAATAAAAATGGGATCTTTTTTCAACATATATTTACGAATCTTTAGTTTTTTGCAATAGATGTTGAATGTGTTGCCACGGGTAATGGCACGGAGTGCGTGGTCATGCTGTAATTTTCTGAAAAGAATGATATTAAGGTGAGTGTTCTACTTTAGTGACCGTGATGTAGCGCGAATTGCTATGGTGGATGAAGATGAAAAGGTGGTTTTTGATCAATACGTGAAACCTACAAAACCAATTGTTAGCTACCTCACACAGCTTACAGGCATTACTAAAAGGTGAGTTCAGGCTATAAGCCCAACAAAAGGAATCGATTTTAACTCACTTTTTTTTGTCAGCAATTTGAAAGATGCACCAGAATTAAAAGAAGCTTTGATTGGATTGAAAAGAATTTTGCCTGTAGAGAGTGTGATCATAGGACAATCGATAAAGAAAGATCTAGAATGGCTCACGCTACAAAAACCAATGGATTACAAGGACGAATTTGACGTAGCCGATTTGTTTCGACTTCCAGTGCAAGCTACAAATGGTGTCGTACGCTATCGATACTTTTCACTACGACATGTGGCTAAATATTTGCTAGGACACGACATACAAGAGGCGGATCATAATCCAGTTATTGATGCACGATATGCCATGAAAATATTTAATAAATTTCGGCATCTCCATGAAAATCCAAGTCGACGTGACGCCGTGTTGCAGACGCTTTTAAAAACACCACGTACACCGTCATTTGCAGATCGATTTCCAGTCATTGATGGTGTCTCGATGCGTGTACCGCGAATGCGAAGCACGTCTCCTGTACTCGGACATGTTGATCAGGTTGCTTCTGAAATTGCGCAGTATCGTACTAGTCGCTCTCAACATGGCCAGCCACCTTCTTTGTAAACAAAATAGCATCAAATGACTCAAGATCTGGCTTTGCTGTTCCAATCGGTACTTTCGATTTTCAGCTTGTGTCCATGCGTTTTAAATTTCTCTTTTATCGAAATTTTTTATAGATTGCTGTCTTCAGACTCAAGGCTTTCCGATTCTTCTTCTGAGCTCAATTCGTCAGAGTCATCTGGATCGGTATCAGCCTCTTCTTGCTCGATAAAAGCAGCGTCATTTGATTCGCGTTCATCTTCTTGACTTCTTCGAAAGACAAAATCATCATACCCTTCGAACGATACGTCGCTGATTTCGCTATTATCATCACTATCCGCCTCACCTTTTGAAACGTTGTTGTCTCCTTCTCGATTTATACCTCCAGTTTGATGCCTATAGATCTCCAATTTGTACTGTTCAAATGCCCGTCCATCCATACCGTCCCATGGACGACGCCAACCCATTGCAATGGCTTTGTCACGTTGTTGTCGAATCACTTGTTGTCGTGCAGTGGTGCTTGCTTCTTCCAGCATCAATTGTTCGACTTCACGTCGAAACGCAGTATGATCTTGACGCCGTCGTACCTTTTCACGCTTAAGCTCCATTTCGTCTTCCCGTACGCGAGCTTTGGCTATCTCAAGCTTCTCTCGTCGCACAAATTTCCTCTTTACTTCGGCTTTCGTCTTAGACTCTCGTTCTCGACGCTTGTACCGTCGTACAAGCAGCTTCAATTCTGTACGATGTTCTTTCAGCTGCTTTTGAATCGTCTGAATTTGTTTTCGTATCATTTCTTTGATTCGTTTCACTTCTTGACGCAAGTGTTTCTGACCTTCAGATGTGTCTAGAAACGTTTGGATACCTGGTAGAAGATCACCATGAGCTTCTCGTACATTCTTGTCGTCCACTTCACGTCGTAAACTTTCGTCTTCAGTATACAAAATCGACACAATCGTCCACCCTTGTTGTCGACATGGATCATGCATTTTTCCATATCGTAACATATCCGTACAAGCACAACGCAGTGGTACATTATCATGAATGATACCAACGGGTCCGTACGGACCTACAAATTCTCTCAAAGCATTTTCAACGTCTTGTAGCGTCCGTTTATTAGCAAGAAACGGCTCAGATGGAAACCCACGTTGAGTCCGTGTTTTAATGACGTCAATGACACTCGGTAGTTCATCATGACGTTTCTGAGCTTGAGAATCATCAGTTGGAAAGAGTAAGGACTGACGGATCGTATAGACACCAACCAATTCGCCTCGACGTCCCCATGGTCGTTGCAAGTCATACCTGAACTCGGTCTTGTCTGCCCAGCGTTTGTGACGAATAAGTCTAAGCAATTGCAGCAATTCGTTTAACACTATGCGATGATGACATTGAGCCAGTTGAAAGTGAGTCAATAGAACCATGTCATAACAGAGATCAACCCCTCGTCGGAAAAATGGTTTGGGTTTTAAAGAAGGTGGAAGATAGAACGATCCATTCACGTAGTAATCGACTGCACGATCAATCGCTTTCAAATGCTCGGATGTAAAGAAACGAAGACTTGATTGAAAAGGTATGAGATGCTGAACGATTGGCGTTTGAAAAGCTTTACGATCATAGCGAAGTTCTAAAGTTTTGAACAATGCTACTAATTCGTCCACCCGTTCTTGTCGTTTGTGTAAGTATGACGATATGACTTTTATTCCAAGACGCATGATTTCAGCGGGAGGTGAGCGTAATGGATTGCCATCACTTTCAATATCAGCGAGTGTCGTAAGTGCCTTTCCAAATTCCAATGGCAACCGTTCTAAGCGATTTGTTTGCATGTCTAATCGCTTTAAAGTCGCACCTAAATAGATCACAACTGGTGGGAACTCGACAATATGGTTGCCTGCGAACGAAAGGTCTTGAATTGGAGACATTTTCAATGACATGGGTAACTCTGTCAATCGATTACCACTAAGTCGTAACACTTGAAGATGTAAAAGGTGTGAGAAATCCATTTCAAGAGTTTCAAGTCGATTAAAAGATAAATCCAGTCGTTGGAGTGCTTTCAATCCTGACAAAGCTCGTGGAGAACTCGTTAACTGGTTGTGCGCTAATTGCAAATCTACTAACGTCTGAGCGAGTCCATGCATAGATTGTGGAAGCGAATTGAGGAGGTTATGACTTAACCGCAAGACTTGCAACCTTACACACTTTTCGAGCGTCTCGGGTAATTGTTCCAATCGATTATAGCGAAGATCGAGATGTTCTAGCTTTGAACCAATTCCTATAGATGTAAGTGATCGTTTCGATCCAAACACTTGGGGGACAATCATACACATTCTATTCTCACGAAGCTCAAGCAGACGCAAGTTTGAAAAACAATGAAATTGGGCTGGCAATACATTCAGTTTCTGACCAGAGAGTCGAAGTTCTTGTAAATGAATCAGATTGAAAAATACACTAGGGAGTTCAAACGTTTCCATTCCTCGCCAATGAAACGATAGCGTGTGCGTATCTTTAGCAAGTTCAATCGCTCGCATAAACTCGCGATTGATATGTAAATTCGTGCTCCAGCATTCAGCTCCAATGCCAATTAAACGAGCTTGAGGTTCTGGTGGTAACTTACCGTGTCTTCCCGCTGCCAACTTTTGTTCCAATTGCCATTGAATGGAAGTCACCTCTCCACATTGCAACGACTCGAAAGTAAAACCTGCATTTAAAAGCGGCAAATTACCGGATAAGTATAAATGTTCAAGTCGTTTGAGTTCTAAGAGTGAAGGTGGTAAATCTTCAAGAGCATTCGAGCTGACATCAAGTATTCGTAAGTGTTGAAGATTTCCAATAGTTGATGGTATTTCTCGAAGACGATTAAGTTTCAAGTCAACGTCAATGAGATGAATGAGTTTGGTAAATGAAGAAGGGAGAGTTGTAAGTTGATTCGAATTGAGCTTTAAGGATTCAAGTGCTTCAAGACCAAATAATTCATCAGGCAAAGTCATCAAGTTGTTATTGTCGACTTCAAGACGTGTTAAACGCTTGAGTTTTCCAATGGAAACGGGAAGTTCCGGGAGTTCATTGTTTGATAGAATGAGCAACTGCAAGTGTTCCAGTCCTTCCCAATGATCAAGAGCTGAGGGAAGAATTGAATACTTTTCATTCGTACAGTGATTCACAAATTGCAATGCTGTTGACATTTCGGACCGACTAGGCACCAGAATTTCCCAACCAAGTGGAAACTTTTCCAGTATTTCTCGATTGTGTTGTGATTGTTGATTCCGAGCTAATTGATGATCAGATAATGGCGATTGAAAACACTTTGGTGTAGCACGTGTAACGCGTTTGGTAAGTCGATGAAAATATACTTTTTCATTCGTCATTGGATCCAATTCAATTCGCCAATATCGATCTGCATCTTGTGTTTCTTCTAGAATCTCCTTTGTGTCTTTACGATCTTGTCGTTTCATGGCATGTATCTGTAATTCCGGTCGCGTTGCAAGCGTGACAAGACGATTTCCACTTAAATCAAGCGATTGTAAGTGATGAAGTGTTGGAAGACCACAAGGCAATAGCTGCAAGTAATTATGGCTAAGATCAAGCGTCACAAGACTTGTTAACGTGTGTAAATTATCAACATTATGCAATCGATTTCGACACGCATCCAATTTTTCCATCGTATTTGGCAATGAAATCAAGAGATTGTCAAGTTGATTCCCAGAGACGTTTAAAACACGTAAATAACGCAAGTGACGCAATGCATCCGTTGGGAGTCGAACCAATGCATTCTCTTTACAATTGAAACTCTCAATTTCAGGAAATGCAGAGATAAAGTTTTCATCTAATTCGTGCAAAGCATTGCGCGAGATATTCACACTTCGAATTAAACGTGCGAACTGCATTAATAGTGTTGAAAAGATGAGATCGCAAGGAAGATGAACAAGTTCTAAAGACTTTAAATTCAAGTCTTGTGAACTATACGATGTACGAATTGCTGAGTGAATTCGTACATCAAGAGCTTGACCAGGCATAAGCTTTCGATTGTCAATCTGTGGTTTGCAATCGTTAACTTTGGCTCGTTGTCGCTCTATCCGCACGTTCATCGAGTTTAATGTCGGAACTCCACATGTTGCCAGTCGCGTCTCCATAAAAGTTGCTACAAGCTTCTGATTTCGTCGTTCTCGTTCACATGCTTCTTGTCGAATCTGCTGCATCTGTCGATATTGTTCATGAACACTAGCGATTTTATCTCGAGCAGCTTTATAACTTTTTCCTGCAGCTAAATATTCACGTGCCATATCAAGACGTGGAAGGTTTTCTTGACAACTTTTCATCTCCAAACTCATGATTTGAAAACGACTGTCATCATTCATCTGTAGATTTTAAGAGTAATGGAAACCTTTAAGATCTGTAACTTTCAAAGGAACTCATCACTTGTGATGTAGGACGTAAACTCATTAATAGCAACATGCGATAGTTTCTCTTCTTCTCTATTTTTGATTCTTCCAGTTCAGTCACATCATTTCTTTCTCTTAGTGTGATGGAGAAATACGTGAAAGTTCGCAAAATTGGACAAGGAAGTTATGGATGTGCGTACTTGGCAACTCGTAAGACTGATGTTAAGAATGAGACGAGTAAACAACAATTAGTGATCAAGGAGATTGTACTTGATCCTCGTGATCAAGTGACTGCTCAACGTGAAGCTCGTTTACTTGCAGCGTTGGATCATCCGAATATTGTGGCGTGTAAAGAAAGTTTTCTACTTAAGCGAGAACCTTCCCACGCACTTGCAGTCGGACGAGCACAACAAAGTCCTACAGTCTTTTGTATCGTGACAGAATTTGCTGATGGTGGGGACTTAAGTCAAGATCTTGTACGACGTCAACGTCGTCGTAAATATTATGAACCGGATGAACTTTTAGGTCTTTTCGTTCAAGTTTGTTTAGCTTTGAAACATCTTCATGATCGTAAAATTTTACATCGAGATGTTAAACCTGCTAACATTTTCTTGACAAAAACTGGCGTCGTGAAGCTTGGCGATCTTGGCGTTGCAACCGTTTTAAGTCATACGTTAGCAAGTTGTCAAACGTCAATTGGTACACCGTATTATACAGCACCTGAAATTTGTTTAAACAAGCGATATAATGCTAAAGCAGACGTTTGGAGTCTCGGATGTGTTTTATTTGAAATGGCATCGTTTGCTCATGTGTTTGATGGTCGAAGTCAACGTCAATTATTTGACAATATCATTCATGGAGCAACACCACACGTTCGAGTGTTTGGTCACTTGACTAGCATTCAACAAGATCTTCAATTGTTAATTAATGATATGCTTCAAAAAGAACCTCGAGCACGTCCAAGTGTGAATCAAGTGATTCGTCGACCGCTTGTTTTAGCACGAATTCAAACGTTTTTATCTGCTCATGCATTAGCTTTGGAAATGAATCATACCGTTTTACATGGTGAACATGTGTTTCGAAAGATATCTTCTCGTGATTCGAAACCTCATTTAAATGTTCATCAAGTCCGTCGTGCCGAACCTGTAGCTTCGAAACCTTTACGAAATGCTCGAGTGAAACCTCGTAATACACCAGTTGGTCGTGGCGCTCTCTTGAATCCAAATCGCAAAGCTGTACTTCGACGTAGTCGTCCAGTTCCAGGTTTTCGAGAACCGAATGGAATTGTTGGAAAGCAGCGTATGAAATCAAAGCCTGTACATCAATTGAATGGTTTAATGAAAGGTAAAGTTCAAGCGAATGAAGCGATTGCAGCTCTTCCTGATCCACCGAGTGTAATTCCGAAAGAAATTGAACAAACGAATGTTTCGGAACGTATTGCTGCTTTTAATTCAAAGGTGAGAGGAATGAAATATCTTTTTCATTTACTGTGCTAATGTTTATCTCTTCTAAGTGGGCAATACAGAAAGAAGAACTAGTAAAAAAGCTTCCTCCTCCTGCTCCTTCAAAGATTGTAAATGGTTTAAAACAAGGACAAGCAGCGATTCGAGGATATCCGAAGCCAGTGATTCTTCGAATGAGTCGAAAGACACCAATAACAAGGAAACACTCTTCACCTCGAAATCCTAAACCAAAGACAATTCAATCTCGTGTGATTGCTACACCCTCATTACAACGTGTAGAATCTCAACGTAAACGTCAAGTACAAGCTAAAAAACCAATTGTAGCTTGTCCACTCGATGATTCAGTTCTTCTTGTCCAACAACTTCCAGATGTCAAGACGATCGAATCGTTAGAAACTCATGACGAACAAGAATCAACATCGTTACCAATGATGGCAAACCTTGAGTTTGAACGGATGGTTTTACAACTAAAAAGTGCGATTAATGAAGATACTACAAGTGAAGAGGAGGAAGAAAATCTAATCGAAGACATTGATAATAGTCTTCCACCTCCTTATTCTTCTTCATCAGCATTGGAATCTTTACGTGTTTCTATTCTTCAAGACCCAAGTTTTCGTCTAGCACTTCAAAAGAGTCTACAATCAAATATTCTCGAACCTTTGAATCAAGATGAAGCACAAGCTACGCTTCATTATATGCACACATACATCACTTCATTACGTTAAAGAAATACACAAGACATTGGACAATATGAATTGTTACTCATTGCAATGGTTCCAATACTCACTTCCATACACATCGTCTTCTTTCTCTTCTCAAAGCAATCTCCACCATACAATTTACTTTTTTCACAGCTACAACAAACTGCACAACTAACCTACTCCACTTGACTCAATATAAAAAAAAACACACTCAACACTATTCACTTCATGGCTTGAACGCTCGATTTGAAGACAAGCGCTTGAGAAATGATCCTGAACTGCCTCCTGCTACACGAACTTGCATCTGGACAAGTTGTTCTAAACTTGCACTAGGTGATGCTTTCAAACTCTTTCTCGACTCATTGTCAACCCCATTTCGTTCTTGACTTTCAACACTTGTAATCGTCACACTACGACGACGAGGAACGGGCATTAATTTCGATCGTTCTTGATATTCTTCAGATAAAACTTGCATCTTTCGTGCTCCTTCTAGATTTAACGGTACACTTTCATCAAAAGCTTCAAGTAAACTCATAGAAGCACAAAGACTACGTAAGTGAAAATAATACTTGGCATACGACACAGCTGACACTCGAACATTATATTCTACAGCACTGAGATAGACAAGTTCGAGTTCATTCATCTCTTTTAATGAAACTTCGGGCCAGATTTTTGAAAAATCAGCATTCGTCATACTTAAATCATCCCATACTTTTGATGCCATGACCATCGAACAAAAGACAAGTCGACGCCAATTTTCACCACGTAATTGTAGAATTCCACTTGTTGCTTTTAACAATCGTTCAACATATACAAGACTCATGATAATACATTCACTTTCCATTTGAGCACGAGTTAAGACCATCTTGATAAATGTTGTCATATCTACTAACGTTGGTACAACAACTTCCTCATCTTCCAAATCAACAATTGTCGTGGCTTCAGTATCAACTTCAGTTGTAATGGACGTTAATCGTTGACGATCTTGAGCAGTAACAAAGATTTGAAAACGAGAATTGGATGGCATTGGATCATCAAGTGCTTCCATCATATGGGCACGTAAAACTGTTGCAACACATTGAATAGTAGCATCTTGATCTGGTGTATTCATTGTTCCCATACGTAAATAAATGGAATTTGTACTATTAGCACGACGTAAGAAACGAGATTTGACACTTGTGACTTGATTTCGTTCCTCTTTTCCATGTGTCAAGATACTTGAAAGAAATTGAGATGAAGATTGTTGTTTCTTACCTTTTACAGCATGTGTATAAGCTTTTAATTCCGATATTTCTGGTTCTAAGGCTGCAAGACGTAAACGTTCTTGAATCGGTGATGGGATAATTCGAACATGAGCTTCACTTTCCATTCCATCACTTCCTTTTCTTGAAAATGATACAATTGGTGTTTCATATGAAGATAAAGTTCGAAAAAGAGATGGACGTCGTTCACTTTCGGGTTCTTCTTCTTGTGTATCAAGTTGTAAAGTTATGATTCCCATACCTTCTGGTGTTGTCGGTAATGATCTTGTTGAATGAAATAACAATTGACGTGCAGAACCAGGTAGTGAACGTGTTGAACCACTTGTCAATGATTGAAAACTACTTCGTGTACTATTGCAACTCACGGTACTAGCACATGATCGTGTGGAAAGATGAGGTGAAAGATCGTGTGGTTTATGAAGTGTATCGGGTGTACTTTGACTTGATGTTGATGTCTCACTATCACGTGTATAATATCCATCACGTAATTTTAATCGAATGTTATTTTCCATGACAGAAAAGAAATGACGTTTTTCACGGGTTTCTGCAGCTACAAGTTCAGCGGGTTTTTTCCACGTTGTTTCACGAGTGACTGGGTGATAATAATACGGTTTTTTACTTTTTGGGTCAAGTGCCACACGCCATGCCACATGTTCACTTTCAGATGAAGTAGCTGGAAATGATGTACGGACAGGGACTGATGTACGTACAATAGTTTCATTCGATGTACGTACAGGAAGTGACGAGCGTACAGGATTTTCATTTGATGTACGCACAGGAACTGACAAACGTACAGGATTTTCATTCGATGTACGTACAGGAGCTGACATACGTACAGGATTTTCATTCGATGTACGTACAGGAAGTGACGAGCGTACAGGACCTTCAGGTTGGTTACGTACAGGTACTTGCATCCTAGTTCCATCTTGAGCCATTTGGGTACTAGAACACTGTGTTGCTGATCGTTGACGACTTTGACCACTTGAGTATTTTCCTGGTCGTCGACTGCGGCAATTACTTGACACTGTACCATAGAATGAGCCACTTCTACTATTCCCACGATACTCCTCCGTCGGTCTACGAGATCGAGATCGTTCCATTCGTAGATCAAATGGTACATCATCCTGATTCATTGAAATCATAGCAGGACGTCCTGCTAATTCCTCATCTCGTACTACTCCGTTCGTACGTTGTTCGACCATGTCATTTCGTATCATCCTAGGTTGTCGAGACTGTAACTGGTTACTTCGATTTTCTATCCTAGGACGAGAAAGTGAGATGCCACATTCTTGTCCTTGTTTCCAACTTTCCTGTCTATTGTGGGGGTACCCTCGATCGTACCCCATCGAGTCCTGTTGCATTTGCATCTGTGCCACAGCCTGCATTCTTGAATCCTGCATATCCATCGAGTGACTACTCCCTCTCGTTCTATAATAACGTCGTGATGGTTGACTTGAGCTTGATATTGTCGCGTCTCTATGGTCTGTGGACGTTGTCATGTTCATCCGCAAAGGCGACAGCACACTGTTCATGCACGCCAGTCTTTGTTTCTCTTCTTCCGTGGCACGGTTTCAGAGTGATGGTCGATGAGTGATATTGGAACAGAACCAGGCGTAAACTGCCTGTCCGATTTTCAGGAAACTGGATGTAATGCATCTCCCCCTTTTCCGACAATCCACCTGACTATAAGAACCAGATGGGAAAGGAAGTATAGAAATTAGAGAAATTAGAGACGTATCAGAAGATGATTCTACGAGATCTCCGTAAAAGCAGTAGAACGTTTTTGATCTTTTGGGGTCACCCCATCCCAATGTCATTCTTTAAGTGCTGACGTTTTAATGTCAAGAAGAAAAGAGCGGGCGAAGAAGAAAGTGGAGACCGCGAGACGCGATCGAGTCAGTTGGTCGTGCTTTACCTTAAGTTTGAAGTCGAAAAGTACTGAAACTTACATTTAAGTCTAGTCATGACTTTTGTACTTGGTAGATCTGTTTCTTGTTATAATAGTGAGGCTTGTCGTATTCTGTAGCATTAGAATCGGTTCGAATGCTGTCGACCATCAAGATAGAGAACTAATGATAGCTGTTGGATGCATGATTGCGTTATCAGTAGCAAAGGTTTTGATTATTGACTCGTAACGATTGTCCAGAAATCAAGATCAGTAGTCTTTAACAAACAGGACAGCAATTAGGAAGAAGTGAACTCACTTCTTGAATGATATATTCGACGAACACACTGGAACAGTAAAGCGAAGAGGAGTTTATTTTGAGCCTTTACGTTTAATTCGACTGGAATACCATATGAAATACTCGTATTCACAAAACTTTACTTCTCTTCGCTTGCTACTATAGACGATTTGAAATGGTATCGTATCAATTATTAGTCTTGTTCTCCTTCCTGCTCAATGTTTTGTTTGAAATTATGCACAATATCTTCACTACGTCCATGCACAACGTACTACTGCATTGTTACATAAGGATTCGCAGTTTTAAATCATTCCAACTACATTTTGGGCATATTAGAGCCTCAGCGTAAAGAAACGTGCGTGATCGCATGAACGAAATCTCGCTCTTACTTGAATTTAAGCTTAGGAGTAAGTAGATATCGACAATCACAATTCAACGTTTAATGTCCTCAGCAAATCCTTAAAGGACGCATCGAATCGTGTTCTTTTTAAGCAATAGCTTTTAAGCAATGCTTTGTACAAGTAATGCATTGATCCCTTGTTGAGTATTGAGAAACAATATACTTTACTTTGTCTATGATTAAAGTGCTCTTAATCATAACAAATGTTGCTGAAGTTTGAAGCCATGCTGCATTTTGTTTAATAAAAATTGTTCTTATGAAGCACACTCATCAAAGAAAAGCACACCATCAATTGCCAGAAAAGTCTCCGATAACGGTATATACAACACCAATTTATATCTCGGACGGTGCATTTAATGGACCATGTTGCGTGATGGCAAGAGAAAGCTTCCTTCAAGTGCTATCATACAGCACTTGCCAGAAGCACAATCTTGCAGCCTAAAGCTTTCAATTTTTTTGTCTGCAATGATGCAAGAACTTCATCGACGGAACTAAATTGATAACAGGATTCCATGATTGCCTTCGCTGCCAATGATAAATAAGCAGGGCGCGCTATCATTGCAATTCAAATGGAACAATGTGCTTCATCCGATCATCGAGTACGTTCCATGCGAATAACTAAAATTGAAAATACGAAACATGATAGAATTAGCATCACATCTCGTCTTAGTCATCGAAGTGAATCGCATCGACAAATGTCTTGTACTCACCCTTAGCCCATGGAATTATATACACCTTAAAGCAACCCATCGTGGTAACTTCTAGTCATACTTTATGTATCAACAATGCTTCACGACCAAAATATTGTCGTAGGTTCTTGAAGCATGCGCCGTCAGCGAGCAATTCAAACCAACAATCAGAATTCTAAGTGAAGTAAGTTACTAATTCATCAAGGTGTTGGAGTTTATATTCTAATGCTTCTTCTCCAACAGCAGCAGCAAGAACAATGGACTGCCAACCACAAGAATTCTAAGGAGCAATCTACCCGACCTTATTTCTTGATTGATGATATCACGGAGATACTAATCCTCTTGTCAGAATATACAAGTGCTAGCAAAAGTGCTAAAGAGCACAACGCACTGGCTGGGGGAATTTGTCGCCTCACATGTCTAACAGCTTCTCAATCGACTGTCATGATGTGGCGTCAAGCGTAAAAGTTCGTCACTTGCTGCCAACAACCACGCGCATCTCTATGAGACAGCTGTTAACGCTACCAACCTAATCTTAAACTTGGATTAAGGTCATGCACTACGTTTCAGTAAGAAGCGCTTTGCACTAGATGACCCTGTTTTTTCTCTTGATGAGACCCCGATGGGGAGTAATAAGTCATAAACGGCAAGAGCACTAGAAAAATATGCCGAAGTGAGACCTCAACTCCCCATGAGGTTTCAAAGTGTGAGTGACTAAGCTTTCATTAGCAATTGACCAACAAGAAGCTAACCAAGCGTGAATTCTCGCGAGCTGGGCATATAATAGACTAAGCTATCACTAATAATATTTTAACTATTTGTAATTGTCTTTAGCGTGGCCCACTCTATCTTAGGTTCCATTGTCTGCCTTCCAGTGCTTTTCATTCTATTCCGATGGCTGGTGATGATCTGCTCAAGAAAGGCAAGAAGAAAGGAGGAAATGCTGATGTAGGTACCATACATGGCAAGAGTAATGGAAAAGGTGCGGGTGTAGGCGGTTTTCAACATCTTGGATTAAGTCCATTAGTGTTTCGTGGTGTTATGGCCATGGGGTATAAGGTTCCGACACCCATTCAACGTAAATCGTTGCCAATTGTCTTGTCGGGAAAAGATTGTGTGGCCATGGCTCGTACAGGATCTGGTAAAACTGCTGCTTTTTTAATTCCAATGGTTGAAAAACTAAAGGAACATTCGACAAAGATTGGAGTGCGTGCTGTCGTTCTATCACCGACGCGCGAATTAGCTGTGCAGACCTTGCGCTTTGCTAAATTACTTTCCAAGTTTACAACGCTGAAAATGGCATTAATTGTAGGTGGAGAAGGTATGGACCAACAATTTGAAGCCATTGCCGCCAATCCGGATATATTGATTGCTACACCTGGTCGTCTCATGCATCTTTTACAAGAGATTCCCGATTTTAATCTTAAAGCTGTTGAATATGTCGTTTTTGACGAAGCTGATCGAATCTTTGAAATGGGCTTTGCTGAACAATTACAAGAAATTTTAAAAAATATGCCAACCAGTCGACAGACATTGCTGTTCTCTGCGACGCTTCCAAAAGCGCTGGTACAATTCGCACGTGCTGGTTTGAGTGAGCCAGAACTCATTCGTCTTGATGTGGAGAATAAAATTTCGGAAAACTTAAAAATGGCGTTCTTTACAGTGCGATCATTAGACAAACCGGCGTTGTTTTTGTATATGGTTCGCGAATTTTTACCGAAAGGAGATCAAACGATTGTATTTGCAGCTACACGTCATCATGTTGAATTTCTGCATGCTTTACTTGCTGCAAATCATATTGAAGCGTCTTGTGCGTATGGCGACATGGATCAAGCTTCACGGAAAATTAATTTGGGTAAATTTCGGGCAAAAAAGACAAATTTGTTGATTGTGACGGATGTGGCTGCACGTGGTATTGATATTCCATTGCTGAACAATGTACTGAACTACTCGTTTCCACCAACTGCGAAGCTATTTGTGCATCGTGTCGGTCGTGCAGCTCGTGCTGGTCGCACTGGTACGGCTTTTAGCTTTGTTGATCCAGATGAGACGCCATTTATGGTTGATTTGCATTTGTACATCGGACGTCGTCTTGAAGACTCTTCACCAGAAGAATGTTCCGGGTTTAAGCCTTACACCCTGAGCACAATGCGTGTGGAAGACGTTCATTATGGTGCATTTCCAAACGAGTTGATTGATCAAGAGAATGAAGCTATCCAAGAGACTCTTCGTAGCCACCCACAAGTAGCACCACTGGTAAAAGTATGTGAAAATGCGTACAAAGCGTACGCGCGAACACGCGCTGATCCGTCTAAAAACTCGATTCGTCGTGGTAAAGAGCTTGCAGTGAAGAAGGTGCATCCTTTATTTCAACAAGAGTATGTGCTTGACAAGAGTAAGGCCGACAAAGCTGCTTACATTGACTCACTACAGACATTTCGTCCACCGCAAACGATTTTTGAGATTGCTGTGGGTTCTCACTCGTCAGCCAAACGCTCGTCACCGGGTGTTCAAATGATGGTTAAGAAACGCAAGCTGCATGGTAAGATCATTGCTACGGAGACGACAAAGTTAGATGACAAGATGAAAGCAAAGGAAGAGTCGAGTGCACAGAATGCTGAAGCTGAAGAGAAGGAGAGTTATAATTCGGAAAAAGTGAAAAAGTCTGAATTGAACAATGAAGGAGATTCAGAAGAAGCTGTGAAAGCACAGAAGAAGAAAACGTATTTCTTATCTAAGCATGAGCGCAAACAACTAAAAAAGCGTGTGGCAGCTGGTGAGAAGGAAGAGGATGTGATGAAGCAGCTTGCAGCTACGAAAGAGCAGAGCTCAAGCAACACTGCGTCTGAGCAAGATGCTGACGTGAGTGGACGCTCATCGTTTAAAGATGACGATAATTATATCAACTACATGAAGGATAAAGATTATACAACTGAGGGTTTCTTAGCTACGAATGCAGATGGTGGAAAAGTGAATGCATTTGCGGAAGCACGTCTTGAAGAGGCCATTTTGGATGTCAACCCCGATGAAGCGATTGAAATGAATAAAAAGCGACGGATTCTTCACTGGGATGTTCGTAAGAAAAAGTTTGTTAAGACGACTGCTGGAGAGCTTACGAGTCATGGTACTTTAAAACGACGCAATGAAAGTGGAGTGAGCGTACGAAAGAAACAGCAAGTGGGTGAAGTGTATCGCAAGTGGCAGCAAAAGCAGCACAAGCGTGTGGCAGGTGGTGGTGTGGAGCAGGATGAAAGCGATAAGACACAGAAACTCGATTACCGTAATGGCAGGAAGCCACGAAGTGCTGCAATGGCCAGTCGAAGTAGTGTAAATAAGCATGCTAAAGACGAATTATTAAGTGAAGGCAAGATACGGAAGGAAGAAAAGCGTAAAGCTCGCTCGCGTGGCATTAAAGTCACTTCAGGTGTCAAATCGAAGCGTGGAAAAGGCAATATCAAGGGTAAGAGCCATGGTGCTCCTACTAGAAGCAAAGTCATCATTAAAAGACGGTAGTGAATCACATTATAGACTTGAGCTTTGTTTCGTGATACTGCTGATTAAAAACGACCAGTGCTTTGTTTTGACATTCTGCTACTTCTTACCAATCGATAATGTCTCCGTTGCCAAAGTGACGCAGTTGAAGTGGTTCTCCCAATCTCGAGCGTGCGATAATTTGCGCCATTCTAGCGACACTTTCTTCAGGCCACACATCAGCCGATCTCGGCAGTTCGACAGGTTTATCGTCAACACCCGAATGTAATAATACGCAGCCAATCTTGTGCGGTAAAAAGTCAGCAACCAACGTTTTTGTAAACATGTGAAGTGCAGTGATGGAAGCTCGAAAGCCGTAGGAGCCTCCAGTCACGTTATCTCGAATGCTGCCAACTCGTGATGAGATATTTACTACAAATGCCATACCACGATTACGCACGCCAAGTCGTAGATTCTGGAGCAATGCACGTGCTACAAGAAATGGTCCTAATGCATTCACTTGGTACTGACGAATACAATCTTCTGGCGTCGATGAATGTAGGTATCCTTTGATGAAAAGTCGGGCATTGTTAATTAATAAATCAATTGGGACGTCTTTTACCATCTCCGCACCTTTCACTACCGACTCATGATCACCTGGATCCATAGCTATAATTCTTGCTGGCGATAATTGCGTCAATTTCACACATTTATCGCCTTCAGGACATGCAGCAATGACATTCCAACCTTCTTGTATGTAGAATCGTACAAACGCCACTCCAGTTTTATTGTCAGCGCCAGTGATGAGAACCGTTCTATTCGGTCCTGTATAAACTGGAAAGGGCAATTCATTTGTCAATGTGGAGATCGGCGTTGCACTGAGTCCTAATTGTGTCGGACGCGCACGTTTCGAAGTACCGATCCGACTTTTGCGTCCAATCGACCGCGACAAAGCAGCGTTTTGAGCCCTTGTGGACATCAATATCTCATTCTGAATCCCAGTATCTCCACCCAGTCCATCTGTCTGCATAGAACGCGGTCGCAATCCCATTCCATGGCGTCGTATGAAGCTCGTGAGCCAACCAGCTGATAGACTCAGCACTGGTGCGTTCGGAATCGTTTCAAGAATTTCGCGCGCTTTCTCCACTAAAATTCGACGAGTCAAATGAACGTGATTTTGTGCACAATTTTCCACGTAAAGTCTAAGCGCCATGTCGAGCTCAGGACAGGAGACACCGTGGCCTTTTCGTGTGATACCATGACGCTGTTTATCTTCAATATCCTTGGCGGATTTTAAGACACGTGAGACGGTTGCTACAGTAGGAACAGTCGGTAAATTAAATGTCTCATGAGCCCATAGCGCAAGTTTGCGTGTGGGTAACGAAGGATTCTGTCGATGCTTCTGAATGAGGTCAAACTTCTGCGATACAGTCATCCATTGCACCATTTTGACGTAGAATCGTATGACGTATTCTATTGGATGAGATGAGTGTATACAGCACATGATCAACATTTGAGTTATCTGACGAAGCTTGCAATCACGTACGCGAGTAGAATACTATCGACTAGACTACGGAATGCATGGCAACGAGAAGTTACTGATGCTGTGGGTACCCAGCCTACGTCTGCACGTTATACAGCAGAAGTGGTTCTGTTGCTTTGGTGCATTTTGCACAGAGGAAACTTTAGTACTTATCCTACCCCACTAAGTTTTTGACCACATACGACGCAGCAAAAAATTTAATGCATCACCTTGCTTGGAGTATAATTCCACCCTCGCACTAGGAAATCGCTTCCGTGCATTGTATCAAATGGAACTTGCTGCCACTGGATAAGGCGCATACTACAGAAACGCTGGAAAAGACGAAAGAACATAATATGCTTTTCACATCTTTTTGCATTCCGGCCTCAATCATTTTTCTGCTATTTCCAGCGCCCTTATCTTTTGACCGGTTATGAGGCCAGATAGCAGCTTCAGCATCCTCCAGCTACGCGCTGTTTAGTTAGAACATGTAAATCATGACCTGGTCTCGAGGACCAAGGCACAGCGATTGTTTTCAACTTTCGTGCTTATGTATGTCCTATCAAATGTTTCCATCAAGGAACACGAGATGAAAGGAAAACACCTCTTGATAAAAAACGCCGCGTGCATTTCGAGTAAGGAAGCCATATGCGCTGTTATGATACAAAGTCTTACTGCGATTTACGATAAAAAACTTCAGGCGTTCGCATGTATACCACAAGCTTTTGATATGCTGACCTCCTCAAAAACCTGATAGCTGAAAAGCGCATCAAGTGAATCCAGTGCGAATAGAGGAATCCATCGCAATAATTTGTGTGCAAAAAAGACGTGAAAGCGCTAAAGAAGAAACAGCACGTGCGATGAACTAAAAAGCAATATAGAGTGTAGTAAGGCTGAACAGACCGCTGTACAGATGTAAGCGCACAGGTTACTTACTCAGGCCGGTCAAATCTCGCATTGAACGCAGCGAAAGATATGACAGCCATGGACAGTGGTGCCTTAGCGCATATGTGGAAGGATCACCAAATTTGCGCACTACAGAAACGAAGACGCTGTGCAGTATCTTAATCGCCAAAAGGGGCGCAAGGAAGTAGAAATTTAGTTACAGAAAGATAAAGATGCGTGGATCGCGTGGATTGATGCATTAATGTAGCTTTGGAGAATGCCTTAGATGTTTAAGAACTTGTTATCAATCACAGTCGCGGTGGCACATGGAATGAGAGTGCTAATGAGCTGCAATGATTGTACAAATATACCTGTAGCAGCTGGCTAAAGACAAGTTACGCTGATACATATCAGTACAGACGTTGGAAATTTGTCTTACTAAGCAAAATTGATGCAGAACTTTGGAATCGACGGCTTGAAAATCCATCATATGGTAAATTGATCAAGACGATCAAAGTCAAATGGATTGATGACACGGTGGAATAGTGAAAAGTAGAGAAGCAAACGTCCAAGGTCAATAACGAGTATCACAAATGCAAAGTAAACGCTGGTCTAGACTCTGCAGTGTGCAATGACATTCTTGTGCCAATAAGTACGTGGTGACGACGATCATGATCATAAGTAACTATGAATGTTTTTAAGTAGAGCGACGTTGATAAGCTTCTGTCAAGACGCTTAGACAACTACCACCATAAATGTCAAGGTGCTTCAAGGCAATTATATTTGTGCGTGATAAACAGGATTCTTGTTCAATTCGATGCAGTCTTGATTGTCTCGATAGATGAGAGCTGCATCGTTATCTTCGCCGCCAACGTGTAGATCACCAAGAAGACGTTGCAACCTAACCAGACTCATGTAGAGCCGGTGTTGTAGTTGTCGCAATCGTTTGCTGACGCTTCAAGCTCTATGAGACTGCATATATATTCAAAAAATACGAGCCAGTTGTCGTGCGTCGTGTGCCCAAGTCGCCTGCACTATTTACATTCTCAAATCCAACTGGCGCCCCTTTGTTCGCACCGCCACATTCAATTTTGAGCTCTTGGAGATCTATCACTCTCGACCATGCCAGTACTCATCATGAATCTTCTTCACAGCGCTTCTCTTTGATAACTTTGAACTTTGCTCCAAGTTAAGGATGTTACCTGTGGTTTAAGGTGATCAAGTTTCGTGGTAAATCACACTAGATATATAATTATACTAGACATACAACGTATCAAGCAAAACAGCAAGACGTAATGCTCTCACAGCTGGAGGGGTTTCAGAGATGAATAAAGTATTTCTTGGAGCATAACCTAATTACCGCTGCTCATTTTGTTATACAATTTGTTCTCACTATTGCCATGCGTAAGATAGCTCTTTATCGAGGCCATTCCAGCGTATCATTTGAGTAGGAAGACCTTGAACTCACAGGAAACCTTGGCGAAAGAGTCTTTGTGAAAACGGTCTTAAATTACTGATTAGAACATCTCACCGTCATAAATACCGTTATGCTCATTTAATGCAGTTGCCAGGCTTAGGCAATTTCGAAGTAAGAGCCCTCCAGACCAACTATACCATGTGTTACCACGGGTAGCTGTATCTTGTTCAATTGACGAAATGTCGAGTTCTTAATTGCGTCTGATTCGTCAAACAGAATTCCCGGCCGCAGCAAATCTCGTGCTGTCGTCCGAAACAGCGTCTCTCTCAACTCTTGCTCTTCTGGACGTTCCAATGGCCCCTTTGGGCGATTCGCTGGATCCTCTCGAGACTGAACCCACTTGGCATTTAATTGCTTCTTGACTTTTCTCTCACTAGCACGCATCAACGCACTACCACTTCCTTCCTTCCTCTCTATTTCCACTTTTTCAGCAGCTTGAGCCAGTTCGCGACGTCTGTCACTGGCTTCAGTAGCTGCCAAATTTCGCTCTTCTCTTTCTAGTGATATCGGTATTGGCATTGTCTCCATCGTCTCTAATTCTTGTTGAAATTGCAACGCAATAGCTTGACTTGAATGCTCCGTTTCATGTGCTAAGGGATTCGCACTAGGTTCACACTCTTCTTCGTGTTGTTCCGTCAACGCCTTAATTCGATCGCGATTTAAGAGAGTTGGATCTAACCGTTTGCCAGTTATGATTGTATGATGACGACTTTTACTTTGACGAGTCATATTATCGCCTTCCTCGCGCTGAAGCTTGACATTTCGCGCGCTTTCATCTCTTAGCGCTACGAGTGGATGTGTATGGGGAATGGGAGGAGACTGCGGTATCAGATGCTCATTGTCATCAAAAACTACATTATGAGGCTTTTGCGGCTGAGTTGAAGGTAGTAGAGCTATAGGATGGGCTTTAGGTGCCGGAGGTGGTGGCATTGGCTCGAGCTTTTCCTCTTCATCCATCGATTCTATCTTCGTGATAAGCAAAATGTGATGATAATTCTCGTTAAATGAAAAATTAGAACATGCTATAACAAATATAAGAATTTCCTAACATTTGTCCATCAGACTCAAACTATCAGGGTGTGAGTTCCTTAACGATCATAACGGCCGGCGTCAGCTCCAGGTGGACCATTCGAGTGATTCTGACGTTGCTGATGCATGCTGCGTAAGCCAGCCTTAAGAGCCTCTAATCCTCGTGGCACCGGAGCTGCAGGAGTAGAAAATCTTATATGGGTTGATTGATACGTTTGTGCTACTTGAAAGGTGCCTTCAAACGCCGACTGAGCTGACACTCCATGTCCATCTCGGCCACCTGTTCCATTATATCTATGACTTCCCTGGTGTCCACGGCCACCGTGACTGTTATAGCCTCCGCTACGAAAATCAGAGTTTGGACGACCATATGACGACTGACCTCCGTCGTATTGATGTATCGAATCACCGTACTGACCGCGCTTATTTCGCGGCTCCTGTGAGCCCCAATTGCCATATCCATTGGTCATGTACTGATTATATTGCTGCTGAGGCGGGCCACCATACCGATCCAAACTCAAATTGTTGTTTCCAAGACGCTGATAACTTTGGTGGTAGCTTTGCTGACTACCATAGCCACGACCTCCACGACCGCCACGACCGCCACGATCGCCACGGCCACCAAATCCACTATTTGGACCTTCGCGGCGCGTCATGTAATTTTGACGTACATTTGTATGATTAAAAGCATCACCAGCCAGGTCGACAATGTTAATGTTGGCTTTGCCGAAGAATGGAATAGTAATCCGTTTGTCGTTTTCAGTAATCAGTGTAGGACTAGGAATTCGTGCACCATCTAGTATTCTGGACACGTGCGGCAGTGTGGGTGGTAAACGGTACTGAAAACTGTAGCATTGATTGTTTGGAATATCAACTAAATGCCTTTGAGCTTTTTCCGGGCTCGGCACGATCCCGCCAATTGGAAAGTATAAGGCATCTACATAAACGAGCGTTCCATTTAACGACTGCGCAATTTTCGGGTCTATCGGAACCTCCGCAAGCTCTGTAGTTGGAGGATGTTTCGCAACGAGACACTTAGAATGAAAAAAGACAACTTCTTTGCCAAACCGTGCATTTCGCTTCTTCTCTGCTGCTGTCAACTTCTGATTTGGCTCTATCATGGCATTTAGTAACCGAGATTCATCAATAAATGGTAGTAGAACTACCCAAAGCCAAGGCATTGCCTTGCCATTTGGATCAACTGGAATTTCTTTCGGGTAAAAGTCAAGAATAGGCGACTCAGGATCAGACATTAACCAACGATATGGCTTTGGAATAGCATGTGAACTACCTGAGGGAAATACACCCATAAGCTGCTCAAACGGATGAAACGGAAGACCTTTTTCGAATTTTATCTGAAAGCGGTCGATGTTTCGCAAATCGGATGCAAACGGAGCATAATGAAATGGATAAAACCACTGCCACGAGGCACAGCCCGAGTAGTAGTACCGCATAACCCAGCACAATCCTTCAATATACGCGTGGAAAACACGCTCACGACCGCCACCGACTTCTATATCGTCAGCTTTCAGCTTGTCACTATAATATCGAGTCTTCCAACCAGGTTCGCCGAGACGCACAACATCTTGGACCTCTTCGCGGTACTGCTCGAGTTTCATCTCCACACTCTCTTTTACTCGCGCTTTTATTGCCTCTTCCGGAGTCATGCCACCATACTTTTTATCACCCGCAATAATATCTTTATCAATCCGGCGCTTCTTCAAAATCTCAACAGCTGAGTCTTTGGCTGCAGAAGCAGCAATTTGATCTCTCTTTTCATTCGACAAACGCGACTTTCGTCTCCTCTCATTCTCAGCTTGTTTAAGAGAGCGACGCTGAAATATCACGTCTTCCACTTGTCCTACTTCCGCCAAAATCACATCTACACGCGAGAGATTCACATGACCTCCGTCTGTGAGATAGCCACCCATTGCAGGTAATAATTTCGCATAAATCAAGATCAAGAAGTCCAAAGCACCGTCTCGAATGTCCAGCGATGGCAGATGTGGTAGAAAATCATTTCCCACAAAAAAACAAAGAAATACAAAATCGTCAATTACACGCTCAAAGTCGTACGGAAACGGTAGCACAGTCGCTAGTGGTTCAAATTCCACACGCAGGTATTCACGCAGTGTAGCAATATGGAGGAATTGCAATTGTTTAAGATCCGATGCAATCAAGTCAGAATCGTGTTCGCCAAACTCACCACGCTTTCGTTTACTAAGTGTCGTACCATTTGCATCCAGGACCATTTGCTGTTCCTTTTGACGCTCTCGTTCATACTTTTGCTTGCCAAAAAGCACTTCCTCACGTAAAATCGAAAACTTTACTTCATGAGTAGCCAATCCTAGCATGATAAGATCAGCATCAAGACCATGAAGGACATGGTGCTGATTCGGGTCGTAACCAGGCTGTGATCGCTGAACGCGAACGTACTCCATAAGCTTGTGTTCTCCCTCTCCAGGCACGCCTGCATCGGATAATATAATCTTAATACTTTTCCAAGCAGTATTATTATTAACACGATCTCGGATGTAAAAACGCAAATGCTTAGCCAACTTGGCCATAAATTTAGTTCCTGGTGTGATCACATTCGAGTCCCATGCCTTCTCCTGCGTTGCAGGAATCTTATGACCCAGTGCAGCCATGTATTCAAGTGCTTCTTTTTCAACTTCCATGCGTTGTTCAGCTTCTTGTGCTGCACGAAAGCGTCGTGCACGCTGCTGATTCATCTTAGCTCGAGGAGCTACGCCATCAATTGCAAGGTACAATAGACGACGCGGACGCACAGCAGCCACGAGACGATCTACATAAGCCATAACACGTCGATACATCTCTTCCTCAGTTTTTGGTGCTTCACCATCCTCTGGATGCGCACATGGATGGATGAGGCCATTCATATCGACGTACAAATTGTCGACTTCAAAACCATTTGGATTGGGGCCTGTCGTATCCGTAAGCTCAAAATGACGTTCACCCTCAAGCTCAACAGCACGACTTTCAATACAATCTACAACACATTTTGGGTACTTCTCTTGTACCCAGCGATAAAAGGCTGGCACACCCATAATTGAATCTCTTCCAGATCTCGTAGAACGGTCCCTTTTTAGGGAAAGGAAAATTAAAACAAATCGAATGGCAAAACAGAACAGTCGGATGTGGGTCACACTACCAATGCCATGGAACTTGATGTACAATACACTATCCTTTGCGATGATAATAGACACCTGAATAAAAGTCATTCTTGCGTCATGGAAGGCAGTTTGCCACATCGCCAACTTCATGTGCTTCTGACACTACTCGACGGTGAACATTCATTTGGAATGTCTTTGGCTCAAAAATGTTCAGTTCTTGGGCTTAAGTACACGGTAGTATCCAGTGTCTTTGCCAACTCACCTGCTGATCGCGCTGGCGTTCGCAAAGGTTTTGATGCGAGTGGCGCTACATAGTTGGTGTTAATAAAGTGCAAAGCATTCACGATCAGTCGTTTGTCTCTGTGGTAGGATATGTGCTGCGCTCTGTGAATGACACGCCAGTAGGTGGCCTGACAGTTGCGCAGGTTGCCAATTACTTCCGTAATGTCGGTCAGGTGTGCAGATGTTTTGATCATAAGTTTACAGTATTCACTTGATAAAGTTGAACGATTGATGGAATGCTGTGTAGACAAGAATTACGCTTGAGATTGTAGGGAAGCCGACATTTACATCGAAAACGACGACTTGCTCGAGAGTTGAGCAATTGTTAAAACTACCAGGTGCTGCTCCGTCTGGAAGAGCTATTGCGGCACCTGGTTCGGCGTTAGTAGTCCCAAGAGATGCTTTAACTCAGCAGTCAATGCCAAGACGTCCTGTAAAGTCTGCTGCCAAAGCACTGGCATTGCAGCGACATAGTGATGAGATTTACTCTGCAGCTGCTTGTGTTCCGGATCGTGCTGACCCAAAATACGATAGCACGGGTAGGATACATCGCATCGGACTTCAAGCGATAGATGTGAACCCTAACAAAGCAGAAGAAAAAGCTTTGGTGTCTGTAATCGACGTCGAGTTGACATCCGAGTGCATGGCCAGTAAACCATCGTCGCTTCATCCAACATTACTACAAAAGTCTGATCTGGCAAATGTCGCTTCTCAAGGTATCATGAGAGTTCAAAGTTGATGAATATTGTCTTTTTATTGTTAACGAGACGTCTAATTTTTGACTGCGCTGTTTGTATGGGTTAGAACGTGTCGTTGCAGATGTACAGCTAGAAATTTCAGTACCTTCGACAGATTTTTTACACGCTTCACTAAGCGCAACGTCTAGACCACCTATCAAGACATCGTCGAATTGTGAAGCTCCCACTTCGGATGCAAAGAGGCCTAGCACATTATTGATATCACATTCCGCTCGGTCGAATGATACTGCTCTGATGGCCCCCTCAGAGAACGCTGCGTCGAAAACTACAGACCATTTCTTACCGTCTCTTACGGCTAAACCATTAACAAATCCACAGAGAAAACCTACGATATCGCTAGGAGAGACCGTCGTTCCTTCAACACTGGAAATGGATTCAAACTCCCCAAGACTCGAATCATTGTCATCAATCCCATGCAAAATTGAACTTGTGTCGCCAGCAGTCCATCGACCAACACTAGCAATAGAGTCATTAAACAAGCCATCGATATCGCCTAGACAAGTTGCTATCATGCCTTCAGCCGCCATGGGAAGAGATGCAGCGTCAACTTCTGAAAAGCTAACAGTAGCTGAAGCAGCACTCGATGCAGCACAACCACACAGCTCTGTGAAAAAATGTATAAAGCGTCGAAGAAGTCGTAAACACTCTGTGGCGTCAAATGACTCAATCGATGACAAAGCTAGCAAAAAAACGAAAACTTTATATCTTTCTGACGAAAGAGACGATATCAGCAGCAGCGGTGCGTGTGCTTTCTTGGTGTAAATGATTGCTAGTCTAAGTGTGTGTTCTATGTAGACGAGACGGTGGAGCCAGATGCGTTTTCGTCTGACTCGGACGAAAATATTCCATCACCCAAGAGTGATCTACGCAAGGTGCGACGCTGTGACCGTCCTCGAAATAGCCTTACGATCGACCGTTTAATCGGAATGGGCTTTGCACGGGTAGATGCTGAGGCTAGTGTGGAAAAGTTTGGCAACGATCCTGATGCTTGTATGGTCTGGATCATTTCAAAAATTGAAGAAAGACAGTTTAATGAAGACCTGAATCGAGCATCTATACAGTCGGAACAGTCGAAACGGGAAGAAGAGAAGCGAGTTAAGACACTAGAAAAAGAAAAGCTTGCGTGCTCCACCAAATTCATGGCCGTATTTCCGACTGTACGTGGGATCATATTGCAAGTTTCTATAAAACGCTTACCAATGTGCTTTGTTGAAAGTCTTACATGATATGTTCTGAATCAAGTGCGCTAAACCTGAAGACATTGCTTCAGTCGACAATAGATCAAATACATGGAAAGGCTTATATTCGTGATATTCTAACCCAGCTCTTAACACTCGAAGGAAAATCGATTCGATGGTATAAGGAAGCAGCTAGGTCGTACATGCTCGAGCTTGCTAATAGGCTGGACATTGAGCTACGTTCGCACGATGTAGTGGCTTGCTGTGCTCAAAATGTTACGAAGTCCCGAGATAATTTATGCACTTTTGTACGAAAAGTAGTGGAAGAAGTGGAAACGTTGACGAAGGCTCTATACGAAATGCCTACAAACCAGGGGGGAGTACCTCCAGTATTTCTTGAATGTGATGAAACGACAAAATTCGATCTGGAAAATGATGGTTTTGAAGTCATCGAATGAAGTGAGCATTGATTTAAACATACAGACGTAATTAACGAACTGTGAATAGGTCTGATATGCTCTTGGCGTCTAACATGTTTAATCATTCCGTCACATAGATACCTTCTGCAGCAAACCAGAGTGTATCACCTTCACGCATGGCAGTAGCACTCACTTCTTGTTGACCATTGATCGGGCAATTTGGACAATTGCTGTCATCAAATCGAATAGAAGAACTCGTGGATAAAAGGTGGTTTGTCGATCGATGACGTAGACGCACCAGCTCTCCGCGTTTCCATAATCCGTCGTCTTCGCATTGACCTTCAGCCGAGCACTGTTGGTTCTCCTGACACTCGACGACCCATGAGTCCATTCTGTCCCCTTCTCCTGCCACTCCAAACGCGCTTACTTCTAAATGGTGCGATGTGAGCGGCGCTTTGAACATATGCGAGTGTAAATTGCGTCGTGTTTGCATGTGTTCCAGACGAATGATAGCTCCACATTGTATAGGCTTTCCAACTTGACACACTGGCGCACCATCTCCTTCTTTGACGAGCCAATAGCTGTTGACGTCATTACGAGCCATGTGTGCAGTAACCGATTGCTGGCCGCTTCCACTACCGTAAGTGATCTCATGCGAGTGTAGACGATAGCGACTAGCCTCATGTACCAATTTGATGGAGCTACCGCACGTTACGTGCTCAAAACCCTGCGGATCTGTAATAAACGAAAACAAAAGTGTCAATAGTTATGATCTTACGATCAAATGAACTGTCGATCATACATTTAAGCTCAGCAGACGAGTCCATAGCACACGCTTCTTCGCAAGTAAATTCATGGTGATTGCAATCAACCTCACGCACGCGGCGACGGTCTTCACACTCACAGAAACCCGACAGGCCTGAGGCGATGCGTTTTGAACACGATGCGTCGTTTTGTGGCTCGTGTATGCCATGCGGATCACAATTAGAGGTAGCACGCCACTTGACGCAGTGTGTAGATGAGTCGGCTGTGCTTGAAGGTAAGCAACTTAACAGTGCGGGGAACAACACTAGTAAACGCATGAGACGATCAGGAAGATAAAGTGGATGCGTGGCAAGCCTACACACTGTTGATTGACCTACTTAGAACAAAGTATATGTATTCATATTTTACGAGATTACTATTTCTTACGCGACCATAATTTAATATGATACTAGTTTGTCATGCTGCAATGCAAACGATTAAGTATTTAATATATCAAGCAAAGGAATCTTGCTTTACGACCGTTCAAGTCTTATCTTGTTCGAATACGTTAAGCGCTCAGACCATTGATGATAGTACAATCGTCCAGCTTCGATTCTTCTGACAGAGTCGACATTAATTTTTATCAAAAGCATATTCTGTTTTCATTCGATGACAGTTCCATGCTGATTAACTGCGAATTTGCAAAGAAGCAGAGTAATTACTTGCATACTTTTTGTATGACAAGCACCACAAAGTTGGCTGCGTGTGTTCACTTAATCGTATCGGGCACTGGTCATCTAGCGTTTCGGCAGACACACACGGTGAAGCGTTTCGAAATAAACGGATCACAGACAGGATAATTTGCTGGCGAATGATCCTGAATGGCTGTGAGCAGCCAAAGCTTCAGTATGATAACGGCTAAAGGCTCCTTTGGAAGAGATGCATATGACATGTCGCTGCCACTCACACTTCATTTGGTACAAACAGCTTCGCTGTCGAACGTAGTACATTAGTAGCATTAGCTTGTACTCTGGTACTATCGGTGCGTTCGGTGTATACATCCATCCTCTGCGTGCTTAAAACGCGGACTCATTAGGTCAAGGCTTTCTTTGTACAAGGTACACGGCTACACCCTTATACTTGGTGGCACTTGCCTTCATTTTGTTGACCAATTTTTATACACTACATCCTTGAGGACATTTGGGGATTTAACACGAGATGATCGACCTTCCGTCTCATGGATAGCGAGGCACGCTTTGTAAGCTCATGTATATAGTGCAGTTGGTACTGGATGGGGAGTTGAGCTCGTCTCCGTCATATAAGCTCGTCATCAAGGACACTCGCAGCTTCGAGTTCGAGGAGTGGAACAGCTTTTTTTACGAGTACCACGTTGATGATGGATGGAATATCACGACGTGTCAATTATAGCGTGTTACTATCAGATCGTGGAATGCGCCATGAATTGACTTTGTTCTTATAATCAAATTAGTCGTTACACCTCGATATCCCTTAAGAGAAGAATGGTGTGCCGTCATAAATGCTCCCTCTGTGCAAGCACAAAGCGGGTTTGGTGAGAGCGAGTAAATCTTACTAGTCGCTCCTGACATTCTGTGCCAGGAATGCCTGTCGCAATTGGCATAGTTTTCATGCTCGTCATACGATAAATCCTGCCTAAATTACGGTGCAGACGTTGATTCTGGCAAGAATGTTTTTCATACCAGCCTGGTCGGCTGCATTACGATCAGAGCTCTTCGTTTGATGTTGCTTATGATGACCCGCTTGTAAGAAAAAATGATGTCTCTCTTACTGCAGTGATCACTCCGATCGAAATGTTTTGAGAGTGGAAAGTGGTGCCCAAGAAATAATCTAAAGCACCAGTGACACTCAGCTGTTTAATTTTGTTGCTGTTAAAAATACATTGCGCTTATGTGCATACCTTTTCGACAATATATATTTCTTCACGAGCGTGCAGAACATGAGCGCAATTTACCGCCAGACCTTGTTTATATAGGTAAGTACGAGGTACGCGTTAGTCTGGCTCACGCCGAATAATACATCGACTAAGCAATCTAGTCTGACATTGCAATTTCGTCAAAAATAGCAAAGAGACCACCCACAGACCAAAAAGACATGTATTACATGTCTGTACGAATTGTGAAATCATCAGGCTTTGAATTAATAGTCCTGAGTATTATAAGCTAATAATATTTGTTTCAAAACTCTTAAACTTCGTTCTGGTTGTCGACATATAACCATGGTCGAACAGTGCAATATCATTACAATTTGGCGAAGGAATAATGCATGATTTAGCTGTTCTGCACTTATGTTGCTTTTGACAACTCGGTCTTAAGGTGTAAGTACACGGTCAAGAGAGCGGTGATGAACCTGAGCCAGCATTGTGATTGCCGAACACGCCAGCTTTGAAACTCCAGTGATATTTCAAAGCCCATTTCTGACCACCATAGAAAATTAACTCTACCACATAATCTTGAATAAAGGTCTGAAGAAAGAATAAAATGAGCCTGTTCGTTGAACGTACTAATTAATGTCCGAGAAAATGATGCTTCACAAGAAAAATTTGCTACTAAGGTTGTCAAGCCACATGACTCGTTAAGGCACTTTATTAAACATCTACAAAGCCTACCCTGTCAGCTTTTTTTAGAAGTCTCGCTTAATTAACTATGACCAATGAAGTTGTTCTCAAAGCTGTCCAAGTCTCCTGTGATAGAAGCGGTTGCGCTTAGATAATTACCAAACGGTGCTAGCATAGAACCTGCCGTTTACTTTGAGGATGTAAGCAACCGTAAAGCAATGTTGTTAATGTTCGTGACGTGATCACCTGCTTAATCTCGACTTCTGTAATTTGCATCACCGTCATTCTTGCGGTAACCGCAGCCGACAAGAGACTTCTAAAAAAGCCGACAGGGCAAACTTTGAAGTGTACTATACGTACCAAATGAGGGTAGAGGTGGGGGTCGTCAGCTCGAGAGCCGTATCAATTTGCGTCCATCGCTGGTAAATGTCAGTCATAATTATATGTCGATTTTGGTATCGATGAAAGGTCAAAGTTTGACGAAAGACAAGTCAAAATGCCACTATTCAGGATAATAGGATGGCGTGATATCTAGTAATACGAAATACAAATGATTATGATGTTTATCATAAGACAAATACATTTTGGATCTTAACATTTTTGCATGGATCATCAGTATTGCGATCTCAGTCCACCACAGAGGCTGGGTTCGCACTATCCATGATGGCCTCTGAAAAAAAAGGGTTTCCCTTAATCCCAAGAGTCAATTGTATATAAAATCATGACTCATATAAAGTGATTTAAATGTAGCAGCTCTCCATGCTACGCATAGTACAACAGGGACATGACATGAGTTACGGAGCCATTGACAACTTGACCAGCGTATGAGTGCGTTTGCCGTTGTTGGAAACTAAGAAATTCTGTGTAGCATCTTCTTTACAGGATTTCATCATTCTCACCAGTACGAGTTCTCTTCTTGCCGCGCATTGTGAAACCCCGATGGGCCTATGTATGCGAAATTTCTGCGATAAATGAGCGCTCAGAAACGATCCACGAGCGCTTTATGAACCCTACACTTTCTCCAGCCGCCTGGTTTCGTCGAGAGCAGCAGCGGTCGAGTAGTACCAGACCGCCAAGAAGGCCAGACATACGGGTCTGAATGCTAAACACAGGTTTTGCGTAGTGTGTGATAAGGCACGTCGACTTACCCGTTTGACTGCATTACAAGTTAGCATCAGTGAAACATACATCAGACTGTAGCGACTTATAATACATGAATAAAGATAGACGTGTGTGCGCTAATCACTAACTTTCCTACCAGCAGCCCCACTTATCTTCACTGGATCGCTAGTTCAGCCACTGACCAAGTCTCGAGCTTGTTACAAGATCAAGCTTCACATGAAAATGCGTTGCGATAGGGGGTTTTATCATCTTTTCTCGAGAAGACCGGCATTCTTACCAAGTGTTCCCCATGGGCTTATAAAAAAAGGGTATCGCTTTAACTTTGATCGATACTGGATACAGACGGTATAAACCCGCTAGTTTGTTATTCGTCCCACGTAGATACGTGTCATCCCTTGTTCATCGTGTAAAGTCGGCCAAAGACGACACTCTGTGGCTGGCTCTCTTGGTTATGGCAACACGTTGAATCTCAACAAGGGTCTGGGCGTACGAACGATACATAAAGGAGCCAAATTCTGGATGCGCCTTATCGTGCGAAGCAGCTCAAGGCACCTTACACAGTACAGAGATTTAACGTCGCAAAAGAGCTGGGGATATTCGAGACGTTGCTTCGTCGTCAACACAGCGTTCCGCATCCAAATGGCTTGTAGTACAGAAATCGTGATAATATACAGCAAACCCAACGTAGAATTAAGATATATGTTCATTCTCTTTGGTCTTTTTTTCGTAGCTCACTCACTTTCTGGATGATCTGATGTATCGGAGCTGCAACTTAGTCTTACAGACTGCATAAACTGCAGGTGTAATCGCTTTTAGGCACTTAAAAAACTGCCTGTCACTAACTTGCTATTCATATCTGTTTCATATGCCTCTCGCATCGACTTGTAGATTTTGTACATTCTGTCTCTCGGCTAAAGTATCGCGCACTCGGCGCATAAGGCTCAAATTTATTTAGTGTAGCTGAGCTAATACTTGTAAGTCAAATTGTATTGACAGTTCTTTCCAGCTAAGACCGAAGTCATGTCTCGACTGGGCCAAAGGAGCCGATTTATTTATCAGAAATAGAATAGAGCCTATAAAGACACAGTGTTATCAATGCATCCTGAATCAGTGGCGCATTTATCATCAGCACTGTGGTCTCTCTGTACACGCGCTGCGGACGATATTAAAGAGCAGTGGTGGATATTTTCATCCCATTCTCAGTATTTCTTACAGAGTCTGTAAAACTTGCAGTAAAAAAGAAAATCGGATTCTCGCTCGGGATAACGGCCTCCGTCAAGTAATGTATGCGGACGAACTCGTTGAGAAACAACTTGACTATTTCAACACTGGCAACGGTGTCTCTGGCGTGAGTGAGGTGACCCAAGTTTTAAGGCAGTCTGAAAAGACCATAGTGCAGTATTGTTTGACGCGTTGTTGGAGGACCACTAATTTGTCTATACCAATTGGCAGGCTGCCTGAATGTACCGCCGTTTACTGCGGGGATTTAGCCCGCAGCCACGTTTCATTCATGCGCAAATATTTGCGGATCCACTTATACATGTTTGGCCGCCGATAGATAGCGCTTGCCTTGCAGAATGAACTTTCTCTTCCGAGGTCATCGACTATCCAAGGGGTGATCACGTGCCTCGTATCTGGAGGGCCTTAATACGAGGCACCACCAACGTGGAAAAAGAAGCGGATGGAGCAAAAGTAAACTAACGTTCCGATAGTGCAGCATCTTAATCAAAGAATATTTACGCAACCCAAATCTTTGGCGGCACCTGATGCATTTGACCCGCACGTTGAGCGTATCACCTCATCGATGCACGACGTCACCATCGTGTCATGCGACAGTTGACGCAAAGTGCCTAATATTTTGCAGAGAGATAAAACATCTTGCCGTTCTCTGCGAGAGACGTGTTGACGACGTCGCTAAGTGCAACGATGCTTTATATGTTTAGGTCCTGAATCACTTAGAGCCAAGCAAGCATGAGCAGAAACAAAAAAAATTTTAAACAAAAAATATTTTATTATAAAGTTGCTGCTTGTAATGAGCCGGGTATGTTTTTTTATTATACAGCACAAGAAGCAAACGCGATGGAGCACTTAATTTATGTCCTTTGGCGTATTTTGATGTACATCTCAGTTTACGACGAAGGCTGCAGCATCACAAATGACGGTCCTGGTCGATCTGCAACTGTGAAAGCCAGAATCAGAGCACTGATAACAAACTTTTTACAGTCTTGAAGACCGTCCTTTCTCCCGTTCCCTGGCGCCATATGACATCCGTTCCAAGAGTATTAGTTTGGGGCCGTGCCACGTCAGCGTTGTTAAAGTGCGATTCGTTTGTGTCGGAGAAATCAGCACTAAAAGTGTGCAGTTTATTGGTCAGGTCAGTCCCTTCCTTCACTCTCTTCGAATATAAGGTTTCGACACATCTACAGCGGCCTTGATCTTTAGGAGATCTGTCTGCCGACCACATTATTAATGAATCATTCCATCAATGATATGTTGTTGATGCTGAAACCACATTTGTCCATATTTGCAAACAGCATATTGAAGCGCTTACAAGCATGCACTGGTCGCAAGTGTTTATAAACATTTGACTCTTTGTCTTCTGCACAACTATAAATGTAAAAAAATCAAATAATGCCATTGGCTGCGATTGAGCTACTTTTTATACTCCTACGGCAATAATCGGCCCAAAAGAGGAAGTAGTACATTTTTATGGTCTAAAAGCTGCCTCGCTGAGACTTTGAGCGTCGCTAGTGCTTATGGCATCCATGAGACATTGCCGTCATTTCCAAGCACGCCGCGCTCAGAATACTCACGCAGCGGTAGGGATATCAATTTTCTCTTTTGAGCAATTGAAAGAAGATCAACAAGCTCAGATACACTGAATAAGGCGCGGTTGACGATGCTGTATTGCAGTACATCTTTTCCAAGAGAGGCTGTTTGGCGGAAGAATAGTGGCCGAGTTTTTCTTATCATAGTCATGTGTAATTTTACACTTGCCATTAGCCTTTCAGACACCGACAATCGGCGCCAAACAGAAGAGTTTACTCTCTATCGCGCAACCAGCGTCGTATTAGCACAGAAAAAGGGATCTTTGACGTCATACTTTTACCTTAGCAAGGAACTTTCATGTGTTATCGTTATCCATGATCTAGTTTAAGGATCGAGGCCATTTTTACTATGCACTACTCGGCCTGAAATAACTAATAACACGAATGGTGGTCTTTCGTCACCACGTCTTGAAGTCCTTCTCCAAACGCTGAAGGGGGAACCGTAGGGGCTCATCGGGATTGCTTTTCCACCCCTCGTACTAAGAGTTCTTTAAGCGTCATTGATGGCAAACTCGTTGATGCCAACTTAGTTCCTCTCTCGGCACCAACCGTGGCTTTACTGTCTTGTCATTCCTGCAAACCTTTCGTATAAATCATACTCGATAAAAGATTTTGCCTGGGCAATGAAGGGTGACATACATCCCTACAGCTATTCCGTCACTCCGTTTTCAAGTAAATAAGCGTTCTAGTTACTAAAAGTAGAGCTCGACAGCTTCGCATGGAAGGATCATCATAAGAAACTGCTGATACAGTCGAACGTTTAATCATTACAAGGGAAAACACATCGTAATAATATCAATGCCTGGTCTTTCCGCTTACAACTTGCGGTCGTCTGTCTTGACCAGCCCCGGACAGGAATGTCATACGCAGTCGATCTTACTCTGGTACAGGAGACGCCAGTTTACAGCTGTACATAACATCTCGACAAAGATACGCTCCGCGGACCACGACATACCGTCACACGTATTCTCGTTTTGTCCCTGCAATAGAAATACAATTACCCCAACCTATCCACACCGTGGCTTATCCTAGAATCGACTGAATTGCAAAAACGTCAGGGGCTACACGATTCTCACCAGTAGAGTTCAAGTGTGTTAAAAGCTAACACCCTCAAGGAGACAGAAACGCTGTTGACGCGGGCACGAAAATGCAATACATTCGGCGCAGACATTGAGTGTCCAAGGTGATGAGCAGTACCGTCTTCAACTACTTTGAGTAGAGCTCGGAAGGCTGAAACGGAAGTGAGCCGCGGTCTCAAATGAGACAGAATATAGCAAGTGTATACCGCAGGATCCGCGGGGTATCTCTGCTTAAACAGGGATATACGCTGCTTAATCAAATTTCACAGAGAAGCAAAGCCTTCGACACTTCCACTAGTGTCCCCATCCCAGTTTGCACGAACACTTGGCATTTTCGATGCTTCATTTAGTGACGACCGCTTTTGCCAGTCGCGTGTCGTACGTAATTGTTCGGCGCTTGTGAGTCTCACAAGACTCTCCATGGCTTGCTTCACTTAGAGAGTAGAAGAAAATTTTACATAGAATAGATATCATATACCCTTCTCGGCATCCAAAAAGAATAAAAGAATATGCCCCAGGTGGTCGCCCTGCCTCTAAAAATCACCGCGCGGACAACTCAGCGCTGGACATCGGATTTTGTACTTGTCAATAAAATAGATTAAGCACGCAGGGCAAAACTGCTACAGATTGGCCGAAGTTGCATCTGCGAGTACCAGGTTGCTAGATGGTAATCAAGAGGTCGCATTTTTCATTTACGCTGGCACAGTTTCATCTCCTCCGATGCGCTCATGTAGCCCATCCAACCCTCGCGACACGGAAGTTGCTGTCCACACTAAATATGACATCCATCATCTCCATAAACGAGATTGGCTAGACGAGATTGTTTTTTGTGCGAGCTGCACCGTTTTAGGGATCATTCATGGAAGTGTTTTGTACCCACTTGTTAAAGAGGACCTGCCGCCAGCGTTTGATAAGGGTGGCGTAGTCCTCTTCTGACATCTCAGGACGAGTGGACAAGAAATTGAAGCCCCCTTAGTACGCCCATCAGGCAGTACAAAGTTGTCGCTTCAAATCTTTCCTCGTTGGGAATGCCTTCTCTACTAATCTACTGCACGTAAGCTCATTCTAGAATGCGGTCTCCTAGAGACCGCTACTTCTTATCCGATCTGGAGCATGGCCGATTTCATGGTAATCTGGATTTTTCTCATCCAGAGAAGAAATTTCGCCTTTTCTACCCTTAAAGAGGTGGTCCCTCAGAACTTGCGGTCTCATGGCGGGCGTACATCTGGCTCCCACTGACGCCTGGTCAGGGCGTTTCAGTTGGTGACTCCCCTGAGTGTTTTTCTAGCTGGTGAGCACCACCAGACGAGAGATCATCAGGCGCGAGTTCTCTAATCCCTTCGGAAACAACTTTAAACATAATTGTACTAGGCGTGTCTGCTTATTCTGGGGACAGGTGATCAAGCTTTTAATGTTCTATCCCCAATGAGGATACAGTGTCACAAGACCCAGTCGTCGAATTGATAACAAGTGCTACCAACCCAACGGCGTTGCCGTGCACCCTGCACAGTTCTTTATTGACAAAATGCGCGCGGGTGGGTCGTGCACTTTCAGCGGCACCAAGATCCTTTAAAAGTAAAGTACAACTTTATTCATTCCAAGAGCGACATATATTGAGATTAAAGTCGTCTCTATTGCTATTTTCAGAATGAATATTCTAATACTAGCAAGGTATTAAATAACTTTTAAAAACAATGTTGCGAGAGATTGGGTTTTGGTGCTCCGAAGATAATTCCCTGAGCAATGAACCTTTGGATACAAACCGTCCAAACCCTCGTCACCTTGTTGATGATGCGTGGTTTGCTGAAATCGATCCCTCTTTCCTAAAAACTATAGAGTGGTATCTAACTCGGGCTTTTGTGGAAAGTTATGAATTGGCTTACAGTTTCTGCCGGTTTAATTGTTTGCTGGCATTGGAACAGCCTGCAATCATGGGTGCATGTACGATGACGGATGGAATCTACTGCTGGCCCGAAGGATATTGGCATTATGTATATCACCACCACGTAAAGCCACCACACGACTTCTTAACTCACATGATAGCAAATCACGTCACAATGGTGGAGATAACGAGGAGAGCACGAGAAGAAAAGAAGCTGCAAGTGTGGGATGCTGTGGAGAAAAAAGCAATAGAGATGCCTCAAGCCATGCAAGATTGGATTATTCTCCACACGACAATAAAATCGGATCTCTGACCCAACAATAGGAAGTTTAGATGGACAAATGTGCAAAAGGAAGTGATTGTTTTTCATTCGATCTCGCCTTGCTACGTATGATCCTACCTTTAGATAGCTCAGTCTTTCATATAAGGCTGTGCAGAATCTGCAAGAAATCTTCATTTTCTTTGTAAAAATCAAATAGTTAGCAATGTTGACACGATTGAACTTTTGATCTGAATAAAACAGTCTCTGCTTGTACATGTGCGGTCGAGACCGTGCAGGGTATGCATTTGTAGTTGCTTGGTTTTAAAGGATCGATTCGCATACATAGATTGTAATAATGGTGTTGAAGGCTGAGTCAAGGAGTGTTGAGGATCTGGAATTACTGTTTTATCGAAATTGGACCACGCAATAGCGTTGTCATCTTAACAGTCAATTGCAAACGTGTTTTACTTAATCAATCTTCACGGAATGTCTGGTTTTGATTATCGCCACGCATCAGAAGAAACGCATTTGCATATTCCTCTCCTAACATCATCACACCACGATGTATCGCCGTCCGTTGATATAATGCTTTTAAGAAGCCAGGCCAGCACTACTTGATCAATACTGTGCATTTGACGGCTTGATTCTTGTATGCAGATGCATTGTAAGGTCAAGATGACGGACAAATTTACACTCGAATTAAGCGTACCAGCGTGAATCAGTACTCCTTTGCTTTTGTACAGCTGCGAGCCTTGATATTAGCGGTAACGTGATTTAAATATATCAAATTGGTCATCAAGCCTACAGAACAATTTCTGCGCAAATCATTCTTACACCCTCATTGTAGTGATGTCTGTGTATGTCATTTGAGCAGATCTATGTCGATGAAGCTATAAGGATGCGGTCAAACCATGTTACTGTTTAAGCCGAAACGAGGAGATAGAATAATCATCAAAACAGTTGAGTTGAATAAAGCCCCACTTTATTATTCCGTCAAATATACGAGTCGTGACACCTTTTCCTCTACAATCTAGTAGCATTCAAAGCACCACAGCCTAGATCAACGATTGACATATGTCCTCCTGGTTAAATCAATCAGTCGGCAGAGTTCTTGGCATACAAGGCACGCGACTGAGCCTTGCGCTTAGGGTCCGTCTCGCAATTGTTTTTGCGGTTCTTGCTCTTCAAAGCAGCCTTCTTCTCAGCACGCAAAGCCTCCGCACGGAGTTCAGCACGACGAGCAACCAGCGTGTACGGGTTAAGTTTAACCATAGCACCCAAATTTTTCAATGGGTTCTTTTTCTGGAAACGGCGGTGCTTTTGGTATTTGCCAGCACGCACAACAGACTGAATCTCATCAGAGTTGATCAAACGGCCAAGATTTGCGTTGTTCATCTGGTGGCGCGGGAGCTGGTAACCAGTTTTGGAGACCGACTTCTTCGAGTACGTGCCGTACAAGGAGTCTAGTTTTTGAAACGCAGACTTGGTCCAGATAATGAAGCGCCCAAGGTGGCCACCAGGAGCAAGCTGCAACAGGTTTAGACGTTCAACATTGGCGAGTTCGACACCAGGAATATTACGAAATGCTTTTTCAGCACCGTTCGCGTTCGCATACACGATCAATGGACCACGACGAGTAGTGTAGCGACGGTTGCGCGACTTACCACGACCAGTTGTAATCTTTTTAGAAGCTTTCACCTTCTCGATTTCAACATCTGCGCCAATCTTAGCCAAGACCTTTAGCGCCTGAGCTGTCTTTTGTGTAGACTCCACAGCGTCATCAAGCACGAGAGGTACTTCAGGCACCTTCTCAATACGGTGACCACGGGCCATCACAAGAGCAGGAACGGCCGAAGCAGCCAAAGCCGATGCCACGGCAAAACGACGTTGGTTGACATTAATTTTGCGGTGCCACTTACGCCAAATTCGCGTAGGTGCAAACATGCGACCACCACGACACATGTTACCGAAAGCAGCTTGGCCGGAACTCTGATTACCACCACCCTGAATACGTGGGATACGCGACACAGCGCGACCAGTGCCCCACGATTCTGCAGAGTGCTGATGACCAGCCTCACGTGATACACCGTAGGGCTGGCGACGATTTTTCGCCATGTTCGTGTGCACAAAGTTCACGACATCAGGACGAATGGGGGCAGTAAAGACGGCTGGAAGCACGACTTGGGAGACGACAGAGGCAGTCTCGCCCTCTACGGAGAATACAGATACAACGGGACGACTGGCAGCGACAGAAGACATGATAAGTGCGGCGGAGGAAGTGTAGGCGAACGCGGGGATCCGGCGACAATTCCAATAATGGATGCTTTAGCTCGGTCAAAACGCAGCAGAGCCACTCATCGGAGAGGTCACACAAGTGAATTGGTGTCATTTTTAACATAATGTTTTTATTGGTTATAATAATGTATAAATCTTTTAAAACTTCAAAATAGAATCTCATTTTCACCTCCTTCATGGTTACATATCTGTTCAACATGGATACTTTACATGTTAGAGTAAGTCACACAAATTTCATCGTCTTGCCCAATGCGCCGTCAATTGTTTCCGCTGACGTTGCAGCGGCGATGCACGTTCAGTGTTGCTGCAATGGACTGGCGACAAGTTGTGTCAAATTATCGATGCAAAGAAAATGACAAAAATGTGTCGCTCTCGAAAAAAGACGTCGAGCACGTCGTCCGTGTCTGTACACAGAACGATCGAGCTCGAGAGGCCATGGATGTAGTTCATAGAGCAGAAAAACGTGGCATCTTGACTCCATTTGATTCGCACATTCAGATCTGCTGCTCTTGGGCTCGAAAAGGTAAACCGGAGCGGGCACTGTCGATGATACCTCGACTTTACAATCAATACACGAAGGAATTTCAAAAATTGACTTCAAACCAGTCGACTGTTTACGATCCGTTATTGTCAGTGTTTAAATCTCAAGGAGATTGGCGCAGTACGTACGCTGCGATTGAACAAATGCATAAATTAAAGATTACTCCCTCGCTCCGTGCATTCCAAGTGCTCATGTTGACAGCTGCGAAAGCTCGACAGACGAATTTGGTGATGACAACTATAGAATTTGTCGAGAAAAAGTTTCCAAATTCTTTGAATGAAGTCGCTACTTTGACGGCCATGTGTCAAGCGCTGTTGAGTCTTGGAGATTATCAACGTGTTATGGAGATTTATAATAAAATGGATGACAACTGGGCTTCCGAAGAAGCTAATACGATTTTATTCAATCAATTCTTGTCTGCTGCCATTCGATGCGAAGATAGGACAGTTCGATCGAAATACGAAAAATTGTCAAATTTTCACTTGGCAATGACTATTCTTGACCGGATGCGAGAATCTCAACAAGCTAAACCAGACGATTACACGTTTGCAACTTTTATGATGGAATTGACTAAGCGCGGCGAGTGGGCACAAGTACTGGATTTGTTTGAGATAATGTTGCATGCCGAAGAAAGCAACCGAAATACAGCGATTAAGACAGAAAAGAAATCCGTGATCAGTGCGCTGTCGTGCTCGGCAGTAATTCGAGCGCTTCACAATGTTCACCGCGTCAACGAATCGGAGGATTTCAAAACAAAAGAGAGACCGAACGACAAGAGAGCCCCGCTGAGGAGCACGAACGCACAAAAGCGGAAGCTGAGTCACGATTTGGCAATTGTACTGAGACTGCTTGGTACAGTGGATTTGCGCAATATTAATCATGTGTCGACGCTGATTGATACTCTCGATGAATTTAAATTATTTATACCGGCACGTCAGGTTTTTCGACGTGTTATGGACCAAAGAAGCATCCACGAGACTCAATGGCGATATAGAGATGGGTATAACATTGACTTACACGGTCTTTCTAAAGGTGTTGGTAAATGTGCAATTGTATCCACTTTGGAAGAAATTAAGCTTGCTCATAAAGAGAGAAGTGATGGGGCTGGTCCAGAAATCGCACCACTTCAGGATCTTCGGATAATTACAGGAGTCGGAAAACGCAGCCAAGTATTTATGAAGCCCGTACTGAGGCAAGCACTTATTGACTTATTGACAAAGTCGTGTCATCCTCCCCTTTGGCCGTCAATAAACCCGACCAATCCAGGTGTAATGTTGGTACGTCAGGACGCTTTGCGTAAGTGGCTTGCGAAAGGTGGGATCATTCGGTACTCTTAGTGAGAAATGTCTATGGGGCCATGTAGATAATACACCTCATCGGTACATTGGTCTTGATGATCATCATCTAATTGTGAGAACGACATGTCTGAAGCTCGACATTGATGAGATGGGAATTTGCGCAAACTCTAATGTATTGACTCGAAGACCCTATACTCAGAAATTACATAAGAGACAATCGGAAGCTGAACGCGAACGAAAATGGATTAAAAATGTTTGCAGTTTACATGAGCTTGCATGATAGGTGTACAATCCTACGTGCACGTGTCGTACGGGTCTGCTACATTTCGCATCAAATCCGTGGCACTAAACAAGTACATATACATATGGTGATAGAGTTTATTATAGTCGAGGATACTTGAGGGGTCAGCAACTGCATGAGGAAATCGGTCTGCAGCCTCGACAAATGTCATAGCATCGAGCGCCTCGTAGCTAAGACCTGTCAACTCTTGAAACTTGCGGATACGAAAATCACGTGGCAGCTTACCAACAATGAAACCTTCAGGAGACTTGACCGTTTCAGTATCGACGATTTCTGCACCGAGTTCCGAATCGGAAGTCATACTGCGACGATTCCAATTTGCTGACCCCACTGACAGATAGACATCGTCAATGATGACAACTTTCGTGTTGATCACGAGATCGCGTTCCGACTTGGTTGCATAGATCTTAAACTTGTTGGGATACTTCGTTCGAATTGGCTTGACGTTCTCGTAAAAGTATTTGATGTAGCCAGCATTTTTAAACGGATTGGTTTGTCGATTGGCAACGACAACAACTCGCTGAATCTTTGGCAACACCTCCATGAGTGCATCTAGAAGTTCTGGAACAAAGAGAAAATATTGGTCTTCGATATAAATGAAATTTTTGGCTTTCTTGATGGCCTTGAGTCGTGCACGGAGTAGCGACACCTCTCCAAGGGGGGCGAAACTTTTGTAATAGCCGCCCTTACAACTGAATGTCCGTGTGATCTGGATGCTGTGTGAGCCAAACAACCCGGTTTTGTTACTACTGACGTAGTCTAGTGGAGGAACTTTATCATACGCAGGGTTTTCAAAGTTATAGAGATCATCATCTAATTTTGTGCACGGTATGTGGTCGATATTCCATCGGGCGACAAAGTTATTCGCAACATCTTTGGCAGCAGGACCATGAATACGCACATGACCATCTATCCAACCTTTTTGGTCATGGGAGATTTTAGCGTTCTTACGAATCGAAGTCTGGTTGTGGTGCATTGTATCCCATCGATCAAATGCAAGATCTAGTCCACCAATGTACGCAATTGGCTGGTCTAGTGTTTTTGTGGATCTATTGGCCGCAATGACAATGGTCTTTTGGTGGTGAGATGATAGAAGACTCGGCAATCGATCATCAAAAATGAGAACTGCTTTTGCACCATTGATTGGAGAAGGTGGAATCTTGTTAATAGCATCACGAGCTTTTACATTCGAGGATGAATATCCGGCGACAATATTTGCCCAATTTAAAATATTAACGTTCCCTCCACGCTTAACGACGCCCGCAATGACTTCTTTCACACCAGTTGTAGCTCCAGACGGATCACTTTCTGGCTTCAGTGGGACTAAAGTCGTTAGCCAGGAGGTCATCATGACTCGGTCTCCTTTTTTCGTCCTACTCAGGTCGTCATATACGGCATCGTAGAACTCCCTCGATGCCGTAAACGGCGTAACCTTATTGCCAGTGGTGTACACTGACAAATCCTTTCGCGGGACGCCACCGCGTGAGTCGGTAATTTCGTCCTCAGTTAAAAACCACTCTTCTGCATCTAGTAAAGGCTGACGAGGGGCGATGTTGCTGCCATCTGAATGATCAGTGGCCGCTTTATTATTTGCCTTTGCTATGGGGTCAAAACCATCACCAAATATTGTCGTAAAGTCGATGGCGACTGCAGGAGTCTGACCACAGATGAGCAGCAGAACCACGATAACGAGACGCATTGCGAGTGAGAAAACACTTGAAAACTATAGTGTAGTGGGCGTACTTCAGAGTTTGGAACGAGTGATTCGTATGCAAGAGCATGTTGAGCTTTGCGTACATATATGTACAAAGACAAATCAGTAATCCGTCGTATGTTATCATTCGCATTGCAAAAGATATCTGTCTCCCAAGTGCCTGAATATTACAAGCAATTTATCAACGAAATATGGAATTTTGGCTTAATATTTAGAGCCAGATGGTCGATCCCAATCGTCATACATGCGGATTAACATATGTGGAATGTTTAGGCAAGCATCAAATCACGCTCGATGAGATTGTTATTCCGATAAAGTCAGGAAGTAATGAGTCAGGTCCGCAAATGGGGGCAAGCACTTAAGAACTGAGGGTAACTATGACTGCGTGACGATAGGAAATATATGAAATTTGATAGATTTCATTCACAACTGCTCGAAATTTTAAACAGGTGTAACAGGGTACGTACCGTATCAGGGGATACACACCGTACGGTATGGATCAGGGATGCGTTCACATTGCGATGGGTACAAAACGGCATATTACATTTTTGTATTAGTACTCGAATTTCAGAGTTATCAAAGAATTTGGTACTGGGACTGTTGTTAGATTGGACGCTAGATGGGAAAATGCAAAGTGAACAGATCGGTGCTTGAGTCAGTTGTTACCTCTAGTCTTGTAAATGGACCTGCATTTACGGGGTTTGCTCTTACTGGATTTTCTACTGTCTGACTACTGACCTATTTAGCAGAATAAAAAGCACGACGTCACAAAATCTTATGGCGCAATCATACTGGCACGAGAATTCCGTACCAGTATGGTTGAGTTAAACACTTCCACTCGGCTTTACAGAGTTTGGTAGATCGATCACCAATTTGTCCTGGAGACTTTTAATTTACTCGGCAGCGATCGTTTCGGCCATTAGGATACCGGTAAGAGAACCGATAGCACCCACCATGAGGTCGCCGGTACGAGCGCCCAGATATTTGAGGGCGGGGCAAAAAATAACTTTTTTCCGGACGAGTAAAGTTGTGGTGGTCATGAACAAGGCCATGCTTCAAGTAGAGCAACATCGCGTCACTCATGCAGCATAAGAAGTCGCGCTCGAAAATGGTAACTGAAGTGCAATACATCGGTAGAAAAGACATAAAGTATCTTAAGCAACAGATATCGCGGGTATTTGCACTGCCTAATCGTGTGTGTCGGGTGCATTCAACGTTCTTGCCCACCAGCCAAGAGAAACGATGGTTAGCGGACTTAGCCCACGAGTTTAGAACTCCTGTCACCGCGATGGCGACAGACCCTCACGCGTAGGCAGTGATAATTGCCGTCATCATGAATGAAATCGACTCGCACTGAGACCTCAAACATTGTTGAGTAGTGAAGGGCACATGCCGAAGGGAATTAGCTAGCAGCTACACAATCAACCCTTCCTACATGTCCGTAAATACCTTCCTGTTCGCCCTTCTTGTTCCCTGAGCCTCTGCAGCAGCCGCCCTCGAGCTTCTCCCTGCGACGCCTCGACAAGATGAATGGTCGCGGGGGGATGTCCGCAAGCTGCTTCTCCGTGCCGATATAGCTGACGTCAATAGCCTCCCTGGCCACGTTCTCCCGGATGAAGTGATGGCTTCGCCGAGTTCCTTCATCCTAAACGCCTACTTGAGTCCCATCTTGACGTCCTGGATTTCTTTGCTCGTCTCCGCCGCGATGATCATGTCGTCGACGTAAAGACATACGTATATCAAGTTGTCCTTGCTCACCTTGACGTACACGCACTGATCTGCCCCGCAGCTCTTGAAGCCAAGCTTCATGAAGGCGCGATGGATCGTCTTGTTCCACGCGCTCGCCACTTGCTACAATCCGTAGATCGCCTTGTCGAGTCTGCACATGTAGCCTTCGGCGTCTTCAATGCCATACGGCACCTCCGTGTACACGCGTTCCTTGAGGTCGCTGTTGAGGATGGCCGTGTCCGCATCCAACTGCTCCGTCACGTACTTCTTCTTTATCGTAGCCGCCAACACTACACGAATCGAGTTCATGTTGGCCACCGGTGAGTAGGTTCGAAAAAGTCTACGCCGAACTTTTGCTTGAAACTCTTCGCCACGAGCCGAGCCTTGTACCGAACCACTTGCCCAAGCTCGTTCCGCTTCTTGGCGAACACCCATCTGCATCCAATAGGTCGTAGATTCGCCGACCTCGGTACCAGTGTCCATGATCCATTCCGTTCATGCGCTCGCAGCTCTGCCTTCATCGCCTTCACCCACTCCGCCGCATCGTCGCCATCCATGGCTTGCTGATACGTCGTTGGTGCATCGTCAGCCTCGCCGACACTAGCAGCATATGCCAGCACTGCCTCAGCGAGCAGTCCATCTTCATCAATGCTCGGTCGCGTAGGCGATGGTGGCCAGATTTGGTCGTCGTTATCAGGACCACTGTCGGTCCCATGGTGCTCGTCGTTATTCGTCGATTCCACAATCGCCGCTTCGTAATTCGCGGAGCCATCGTTCAGCAGTAGCATCGGTGTCTCTGCCTGGGCGAACACGCTCCGTCCTCGGGTGGAACACCATGCCGTCATCCGTTGTCAGCCTTGAAGATATTCTGTACGTCGTCAGCTTTCTACTCGTCGATGTCGACTCTTGTTCAACTTTCTGCATTTCTACGTCATCGCCGCCGAGTTCCTCCTCAGCAGGCGGTATTGGTTCGTCGACGGTAGGTTCCACCTGTGGCTACACGTCTCCATGCTGCACTAAATCGTCGACCTCCTTGGTCACATGGACGATTATCAACTGGTTCGGTATAGCCGTATCGTAGATACCGTTCACCTCCCGTTCACCCAGTCTCAGCGAACGTGACACCTTGAGCCTGTTTGAATCCAAGTCATACGCCCGATACTCCTTGACGTTCTCAGCGTACCCCCAAGAACATACACTTGAAACTCTTTGCATCCAGCTTCGTTTTGCCGTCTTCCACATGTGCATATTCGGTAGAGCCGAGACGCGCAAATGCTCCATGCGCGGCTTCATCTTGAAGCACAGCTCATACGGTGTCATGTTCGCGTGAACATTATTCGTGGTCCTGTTGATCAGGTACACCGCTGTATTAACCGCCTCGGACCTCCACAACGAGCTCACACCCTTATAGTGCAGCATGCTCCGAGCCTTCTCCATGATCGTCTGGTTCATTTGCTCGGCCTCGCCGTTCTGTTGCGGGCTGTACGGCACAGTCTTCTGATGCACAACCCCGCTGCGCTCACAGATCCCATCTAGAGCCTTGTTCGCAAACTCAGTTCTATTGTCTGCGCGAATCACCTTAATTTGCTGACCCCACTGGTTCTCGTATAGCGCCTTGTACGCCTTGAACTTGGTCACCACTTCACTCTTCTTCTCGAGGAAGTAAGCGACCACAAACCTTGAGTGGTCGTCCACGAAGGTGAGCACGTACTTCGCTCCACCCTTCGACTTCGTCTTCATGGGTCCCATCACGTCCGTGTGTACTAGCTCCA